CCCACCCCAGTGCAGACCAAAGGAAAAATAGGAGCGATGGATGTGGAATCCCTTGTGGTGATCAATGAGTCAAACAAGGAAGAGATAGATGTGGCTGTCATAAAAAGAGAAAAGAGGATGAGATATGGATATCTAGCTCCATCGATTAATCTAACGGAAGAAATGCAGCGGATATCCATGAATTAATCAGAACAAAGAGAAACCTTGGATACCCATATATCCTTAAGGTCATGCTTCATTTATTCTGATTAATCAATGACTCATGCATGGATTAACTTAACCAGAGAAGCTAAAATTTTTACCATGCAAGTTGCTCGCCGCGTGAATTGAACCCTAAACACTCGAAATCCAGATTAGCCACTGACCACTGTCCACTGTCCACTGTAACAAAGAATCCGACGCGTACGGGGCTCGGGTTTTGAGAGCCTGCGGTGCCGAAACGGCCCGCGCCATCGCCACCTCCGTCTCCCCCACCAGTCCACCACGCGTTGGCGGGTACAGCTCATGCCACTCACCCCACCCGCCCCCTGAAATCACGAGCACCATGGCAGACAGTCAGGCAGACACACCCCACCCCACTCCCCTCGGATCCAGAGTTTCACCGCAGTGCAAAAACCTGCACCGCCCTCATTTATATTCTCTCCCTTCCCTCGCTGACACTGTTTGACCCCTGCCGCTCGTGCCGTGTCCTCCAGCTAATAAGGTCGAGCGGCGATAGCAGCGCTAGCTAGTGTAGCGCCGTACTACACCACTCGCGAGATGGGTAGAAGAATGGAGGCCCCCTCCTCGCCCGCGTCCCTCGTCCTCGTCGTCGTCCTCCTCGCCTCGCTGCTCCTGCAGGCGCGCGCCGACGACCCCTACAGGTTCTACACCTGGAACGTCACCTTCGGCGACATCTACCCGCTCGGCGTCAAGCAGGAGGTACGCCCGCCCGCACGCACTGCCTCTGTTCTACCTTGGTTCGGCCCTGCATCCGCTAATGGCCGCGTGGATGGGATGTGACTGCGAATGCAGGGGATACTGATCAACGGCCAGTTCCCGGGGCCGCAGATCGACGCCGTCACCAACGACAACATCATCGTCAACGTCTTCAACAACCTGCCGGTCCCCTTCCTCCTCTCCTGGTAACCTACTACTATTACTACTACTACTAGCAGGCAGTAGCACCAATCTCCTGTTACCAATCGTGCTCTGTTTTTTTTTACTGTCTCGCTTAAAAGCTTGCCTGCTCAAGATTGCCATGTTCTCTCTGAATGTTCCGGGATGCAATGCAATGCAACTGGTCGGCTCTTTTCTCATACGGAGGCCCTGAGTCGATGGTCCAGATTTGTAGTTGCAACGGCGTGATCCAGATCATGCTCTGAACTGAATCTTGCAGCCATCTCTGTTCTCTCTCTCGATGGAAGTTAAACGCTAGTGGCTCCTGACGTGCCCGGGTAAATGGCTAAATGCCAACTCCTTGGCACATGCTATGTCGTTCCTGGGACTAGTGGGATCGGTCTGTTTAGACATGGACACTTGTGTGAAGACGCCAGGCCTTCCAAGTGCAACTTGGCAGTTAAAATTTTCCTTGGATAGAGTAGGCGCAGCTGTGAATCTTGGTTGCCTTGCAGCGCTTGTTTTGTTGCTACTGCATGTCACGTTCATGTCATGGAGAGTGAGCTGTTTCAGGATAAATTTTTCACTACTCCCTTTTCCTTAGTAGCTAGTAGAGGAATCTGATACTGTTTATAATATATTAATATCCGCCCAATCTTTATCCTTATTAATAGTTCCCCTCCCTCTTTTACTTGAGCTTTCGCTTTCGTTCCAGATCCAGGATGCAAAGAGCACATGTACAAACAACGCATGCTTCCATAGACCATAGATCAGTGGGCCTCCAGTGGTTTTAGCATTGATAATTTGCACATTAGTGCGATCTGTGGCTTCTTTTGCCTTAAGAGAGTGACAAGAGTGACTCTTGCCACATTAAGGCAGTCACGCGAAAACTGTATAAGAAAAAAAGAAGAAAATGCACATTGTCCAAATTACCTATCGACTGACTATACTGAACGTTAAATGCATCAATCTCATGGCTACTTGATCATGGACCACTGTCCGACGCTGTCGATCAATGTCAATTTTTGAGGATTAACTGTTCCTCTTTTTTTACTGTTCTACATTGCAGGCAAGGAATTCAGCAGAGGAGGAGCTCATGGCAAGACGGCGTGTATGGCACCAACTGCCCGATCCCTCCGGGTGGAAATTTCACTTACAACATGCAGTTCAAGGACCAGATCGGGACCTACTACTACTTCCCTTCCCTTTTATTTCACAAGGCAGCCGGTGGCTATGGTGGCATCAGGGTTCTTAGCCGGCCGAGGATCCCTGTCCCGTTTGACCCACCTGCCGGTGATTTCACCATATTGGCCGGTGACTGGTTCAAGCTCAATCACACTGTATGTTTACATCCTCAAGTATCCTGCATTGCATATTACCGCCCATTTTAGTGCACCCCTAACACTGCAAGTACAAATCTCCGCAGGATTTGAAAGGCATTTTGGACAGTGGTAATGACCTGCCTTTTCCTGATGGCCTTCTTATTAACGGCCAAGGCTGGAATGGCAACAGATTTACGGTGGACCAAGGTAAACTATATAATCGAGTACATCAGACAAAAATGCCTGGTAACTGTTAATAATCTTCATATACGCAGAGTTGCGCTAAACTTGCTTGACACAATCTTGCCAGGGAAAACATATCGTTTTCGGGTGTCGAACGTGGGCATAGCAACATCAGTGAATATAAGGATTCAAGGCCATTCCATGCTCCTGGTTGAGGTGGAAGGGTCTCACACCATGCAGAGCACATACACATCCATCGATGTCCATCTAGGCCAATCATACTCGTTCCTTGTTACTGCTGATCAGCCACCTGCAGACTACTCCATAATTGTCTCCACTCGTTTTACCACCCCTGTCCTCACCACCACTGCCATCCTCCACTACAGCAATTCAAATGGTGCTGCAACTGTACCGCCTCCCGCAGCGCCTACAGTTGAGATCGATTTTTCTCTCAACCAGGCTAGGTCGATTCGGTAAGACTGTCACGATTCTTTCAATAATCTTAGCTTCCTCTGAAAACTTTGTTTTGGAAATCATATCATACTACCTAACAACATTACTATCTCAATTTTCATCAAAAAAACATTACTGTCACATTGAGAAGGACACATGCGTTTTGTCTTCCCTGACTCTTTGCTCTTTGGTAACTTTTGTTGCCTACCTTCTGAACAGGTGGAATCTGACAGCGAGTGGACCGAGGCCAAATCCTCAAGGCTCTTACCACTACGGCCTCGTCAACACCACAAGAACCATCAGACTTGCCAACTCACGGGCAACCATCAATGGCAAGCTGAGATACGCAGTCAACAGCATCTCCTTCATCCCGGCCGACACTCCTCTTAAGGTCGCTGATTTCTACAAGATTCCGGGAGTTTTCATGCTGGGCAGCATGCCCAACAACCCGACAGGTGGTGGCGCCTACCTCCAGACATCTGTCATGGCGGCCAACATGCGGGACTATGTCGAGGTCATCTTTGAAAACACGGAGAACTTTGTGCAGTCATGGCACATCGACGGTTACGCGTTCTGGGTCGTCGGGTGCGTCTCCTAGTTCCATTCTTGCTGATCCTGACATGTTTAGTATCACTGCATCTGAATGACTGAAGATTGGTGTGATTTTGTTTGTTTCCGGATGATCAGGATGGATGGAGGACAGTGGACACCGGCTAGTCGTCAGGGCTACAACCTTAGAGACGCCATTGCTCGGTACACATTGCAGGTATCGTTTAAATTGGTCGCTCTCCGTGTGTGATTCCCGCCTTCCCGGATATGCAATTGCCATCACAGCACTGTTGCGGTGCCATAACAAGAAGTCAAGAAACACCTGTGCTTGCAAAAGTTGCTCTGATGTCTGAACTCTGAACAACCACTAATGTTCACTTGTGTTACACTGGCCATGTTTTCAGGTGTACCCTCAGTCATGGACAGCTATCTACATGCCGCTGGACAACGTGGGGATGTGGAACGTGAGGTCGGAGAGCTGGGCCAGGCAGTACCTCGGCCAGCAGTTCTACCTCCGCGTCTACTCGCCGGTGAACTCGTGGCGGGACGAGAACCCGATCCCCAAGAACGCGCTGCTCTGTGGCCGGGCCTCTGGGCGCCGGACGAGGCCTCTCTGAAGCTGAAGCCCTGAACCCAAGAAGACCTTGTCTGTTTCCGGCCACGAAGGGGTGGCCGGAACTTCCGGGGATAAGCTGAAGCTGAGGGTAGAGATAATTGCGGTGTTCAGATTGCTGAACAGAGTTCCGTTTTGCACTGTGGCGCTGATAATCGATCAGCTCATATATTATTTAGCAATTGTAGTTAAAACATTCCGATCCCGGTGGATTTGTTGTATGGGAAGCTTTCTCGCTTCCTCGCTCACACCATTGATGATGATAATATTCATAGTTACCTGATTTTTCTTTTTGTTGCATACACGTCAGATTTCTCATCTATTCGAATGAACTGATGCTGAAGAAACACTGAAAGTCGGAAACGAACAATACGTATATAGAAAGAATACGCCTTCATAGCCGTGTAGCGTTCGAGCTCAAAAGGCGCCAGCGTGCAAGAGAAGCAGACAGTTTCAAAATAGTTAACGGCCGGATTAGTTGGATCACTTTGCAAAGCGCCCCCTAAACTTCCTCCTCCTCCCTCGTCTCCCCCAACCGCAAGCTCCTCCTCCCCTCTCCTCTCCCAGTCACTCTCTCCCGATCGCTCCCCATTTCGCGCTCTAAACATAGGCGAGCTCGACGCGCGTGCCCGCCATCGCACACGGAATTCCCCATTCCTCCGCGCGAATCTCCCCTCAAGCGATCCCCACTGTCGAGGCCCGATTCGAATCACCTTGGTTTTCTCTTCGCGACCGGCGAGGCGGCGGCGAGGATGCCGTGCTAGGCTTGGGTCGGAGGCGAGATGAACATCGTGCGGGGCGTCGCCGATTATCTCCGCAAGGCGCCACCTCCTCCTCCCCCCGCACCGGGCAGTGATGCGGCGCCTACCACCTCCTTCCCCGCCGGCGACTTCGACGACGCGCCCACCCCGTGCGTCGTCTTCAGGTATGCGCGAGAGAATGAGCGCACTCTCTCATTCACCTTCGCACTCCAATACCTTATACATAACGCGACTTGTTTAGTGCGGTGGCCGTGTTGGTTAGGTAATCCCCAATGCTCGTCGCGATTGTGCGAGATTCGAGTTAACTGTTGGAGAAATGCCGTGCCACTTGAAACTCATCATCAGTGGTTCAAAGCGGCAGTGAGCCACTGGGGCTTTGTTTCAGTTGCTAGTTTAATTATATATATTGGCTCCTGACTGTTAAATTAATATTCTGAGTTGTTTAGCATGTTTTTGCATGCTCATTACCTGAACCAATCCACCCATTACTTAAGAATGGTTATACAGACAATTTATACTGATGAGTGCAACCATAGGCTTTGCAAATAGCAGAAGGAAAGGAAACAGAAAGTGAATGTATATGTGCAAGTGAGATTGAAAAACGGGAAAAATATAGCGTCATCTCAATTAACCGTAAAGCCTAAACAAAGACGAAATGACCGTTTCTAATTTGCAGTTGCAACACCATTTTGCCGCAGACTACCGAAGCTTATTTGCCCCTGTGGCAAGCCAGGTGCATTCTTCATCGTTGAAGGCAGCAAAAACTTGTTTGTTGTGACCAAATACTGATGTTAAGTCATGATTCAGATAAAAGTAAACCACTTGTAGCCTCAAGTTAAGCTTGCCCGTGAGTCTTTCCTACCAAATAACACAAAGAACTGTATGATTGTAGCGGACTGCTTGTTAGTTGTTTCAACTCTTTTTCTTGTCTGATGAGTAAGATAGGTGTTGGGCTAGGATAGCCTACCTTAGTTTAGCTGGTTGGTGGTCTTTGTGGTCAGGCCTCACCCCTTTCTCAGTTTTTTAGTTTAAGTTCTTCAATGTAAAGAAACAACCCCTCGCAGCCCGGCCCGGAGTGAGGTGGTGGTGTTTGTAAGGGGCCGATCCTTTTCTCTCTATAATGCAATGATACGCAGATCTCCAGTGTATTCGAGAAAAAAAAGTAAGATAGGTATATGGAATGACATTGCATTGAAAGTCACATTAATCCTTGCCAATTAAGCAAATTATTCATGTTAGCTTGGCACAAGTGTAGCATCTATATGCTGATTTTAATTCTATAAATAAATCTGTCATCAGATCTTGTAGCCTTTTCTTTTTGGTGCTTGACTTGATTGCGTGAATGTTTCTTCTCATGATCTGTTATCTGGTTTCAGTGGTAGTCTGGAGGAGGGAGCCTTGAATGTACTTTGGAAGAATTATGAGAATGCACTTGATAAGGTAGTTTTCTGAAAGCCTGGCAGTTCCCTTCTAGTTCTGCTTACAATTAGGATCTTAAATTAGACACATATTGCCAATCTAAAAATTTGCTAGATGTTTCAATACTACGATGTAATGTAATGTAAGAGCCTAGAGGACTAGCCAGTGGCCATATATTTTAGTGTCCATTTGACTGTTATCCATGACATGACTTAGTAATGTGTCATCCAAGCATAACTTAGGAGATGACAGGAACACAAATTGTTTGAACAAACAAACATCTTTAAAAATCATAGGCTAATGATTAAAACAGTCTGTTTTAACGCTTGCTAAGTATTTTGGGCACCATGATTAGAGTTTGTTTGTGTGCAGCTAAGATTATTCTTTGCGGAGCAATATATGTTTCTCTAAAAGTTGAAGTTTGGTTCAACTTTGACCCAAAACTAGCCTTAACATGATGATGATTCATTATGCTTTTTCTTCTTCCAAAGATGTAAAAGTCGATGCCTTAAATGCAATAACCCGATATTTGCGTAATGGTAAATAGCATTGATATTTTTGCTCCATGATAACCTAACCTGCTGTAGTACATAACTATTCCGCTGGCAATTGGTTCAGAATTTTATGCAACTATTTTATACAGTTATGCTGTATTACATCTTGTGCTCTTACAGGACGAGAAGGAAAAATCTCTTCAAATTTTTGTCTTGCAATTTGTAGAGACATTCAGAGATTGGGGACCACACCCAATTGAGCAACTGGTTGATCAAGAATTAGGAAACAATGAAACAATTGTAGGATGCTCTTGCGGGCATCCTTCTGAGGTCATTCTTATTCTGATTCAGGAGATTTCTCTAATTACATCAACTTTTACTCAAAGTAAGCGGCTTTATTCTATAGTGACTATTTATTGTGTGATATTCCTCCAATATTCTTTGATTTTTTAAATTCATAATTTTGATGTTTGTTGCATGTGGTAAGTCTCCCCACCTTCCATTCTATGTTCACGAAACAACTCTTTCTTGAGCATGGGTAGAATGCTCTTCTTGGACAAATTTGGCTTCTTAAAATCAAATTTTTGTGGAATTTGCTTCCTAGAAACCTGTTTTTGCGAGTGGACAATGCAAAGTTGTACCAATTTGCAAGTGGACACTGCAGGCGCTGAAAGTTTGGAGTAATATATACTGCTCATAGGGTTGTGGCTTGTGAGAAAACTGATGAAATGACTATTTACCCCTTATACCTGAACTGTTGCCATCAGCTTAAGTGCTACAACTACAAACATCTGAGTTGACATTATATATTTTAATGCTCATCAAACAGGAATTTTGCATAATATTGCTGTGTCCAAGATCCCCACAGAAAACGTCACAAAGCTTGAAAGCCCTTAACCCAAATTTTCCATCTTTTTATGCCCTTCAGGGCTTCAGGCCTTAATATATAATATGCTGATCGCTGAGAAACAAAACACGGTGGAACTTTCAGTGGCATAACAATGACCATAGCTTTGCTTAGTTGAAGAAGTAAAATCAGGTTTACTTATTTTTCATCATATGCCTTTAAAGTTTAAAGTAGTTGAATAAGGAGGAAGTTATTCCAAGGGTACTGCTAAAATGCTGAACTTTTGTTCTATTTGTTGAACACTTTTGCTTTATCTTGTTGAGTCATTGCACTTGGGGCTATTTTTCAGTTGTGTTGTGGTGTGTTGGTGTTTTCTCCCCTTGAACACACTGTGTTGGTGTTGCATTGTGGAATGTAGTTCATTAGAGGTAACCTTTACTGATTTGAAAATAAGTTAGCTTTTATAGCTCTGAACAGATGCTTGAGCAAGTTGAGCATTAATCAATGTGACTTAGTGCAAAAGGACACTATTTAGAATTTATTTTTTGAATGAACAATATCTGGTAGAATGCTCACTTTGTGAATGAGAAATAGACTATTGTTGGTTTTGTCATTATATGGATTTTGCTTTTGACAGCTATTCTTATAATTTAAATCATATTTTTTTTAAAAATAAATTTAAATCATGTTTGTTCTTTTTATTGCATTATTAGGTGGCAACAGTCCGGTATCTCCTACAATTCATCATTCAGGGCAACAAAATAACCTGGGTTTGAGCTCACAGATATTTCAAGTTCTGGAGTGTTTGGAAATTCTGACTCGCTCCTTGCATAACTGTAAAGTATTCAGCTACTATGGTGGTGTACAGAAGATTGCTTCTCTACTAAAAGGTAGGAGTTCAGTCAGGTGCTGATCACCCATTCTAAGAAGTGTGTGGGTACTGGATTCTTGTCCTGTCCTTTTAACCCTTCTTCTTTAATGGAAGGGTGATTAATGACTCGCAGCTCTCCTGCGTATTCAAGTTGACAATTATGCATCATGTATTTTTTTAAGCAACAATTACACATCATTTATTCGTCCTCACTTTGAACAGTTGATTAACCCTAAACCCTGTTAAGTACACTCTTAGAACTTCAAATTGCTAATTTCTTAACTAATGAGCAGTTTTCCACCACCCTCTAAGAGGCTCAGGCACCATGTTTCAAATCCACCACGAGTTTGGTTTTCTTTTATTTGTTTTGTTGGGATTTGAGCTGCTCATGACCTGTATATATACCTCTTTGCTGTTCAGTGAAGTGTACATCATTATACATAACTTCTCAATTCTCTAACTAACATCCGTGAGTCTTTTTTTAATGGATTATATCTCATTAGCTTCCTTTTTTGGTATATTCAGCTGCTGTTGCTCAGCTCAAAAACTTGAACAGGTTGCTGGCTGCAGAAGATCAATCTTCAGATGAAGCAGTGGAAAATGCTAGGCTGATGCTAAATATACTTGTATGCATAATCACTATAATTTCAAACTTCATGAAGTTGGAAATAACTGTTGGAAGGATTCCCCATATTGCCGATACCACAAAGCATACCCCATCAAGCAACCATTTGGCTGCAGTCACGTCTAGCTCTCCTGATAGAACCATTTCTGATACACTTCGACATTGGCAGCAGAAGGCAATTGTTCTTGTGATGGAAGCCAGAGGTGTCAACTGGTTAGTAGGTAATAAAGTTATCTTTAGTTTTCTTTTGGGCTTATGTACTGTGATTCTGGGTATTTCTTTTAGATTATCATGGGGATACTCATTTCTTGGGTATATTGTGCTGATGCTATAGTACCTACTGGATTGTCATATAGGCCTGTTTACTGAAAAAGAAAAAGATTCACTATGGGTGTAGTAAAATTAGGACCATTTCTTTGTCCCTTTTCAGTAAATTTCTAGTCTACATATTATGAAAAGTACTAATAAAGCGGTTGTGCAATTAATGGTGCCACTATATTGCCCATTCTTTTTACAGAAAATCATATGCTTATTATTGAATTATACCATATTTTTTTAATAAATCTCTAAATGATACTGCAGAACTATTACGTGTCGTTCAAAGGTTGAATTTGAAAGAGCAGTGCATTGATCTCACACTCCATTTTATTACTTTGTGCACTCTGCGATCAACTGTTTCTGGTACTCGTGCTCAGAATCATCTCAGAAGCATTGGTGGGCTGGAAATTCTATTAGATGGACTTGGACTTCCTTCTAGTAAATTTTCAGTTTTGAGGCAATCATCTATCTCAAGAAATGAAAGGTGCATTTTTGCAGCGCCATGGTTTACCATTATTTATTATTTTGTGCTTTCTGTTAGAATTAATTGCTCATTTACTGTAATTTCCTAGCTAACTGTGCAGGCGCCAGCTATACTGGCCCTCTCACACTGCTGGCCCCTTGGGCCATCCCCTCTATCTCCTATATAAGTGTAATCCCTTCTGTAATCCATTATCAAGGAATATACAAAGCCTAATGGCCTTTGTCTAATATGGTATCGTCTAATCGTATCCCCGCTCGCTACTTTACTGCACACTTGCTTCTCTCCCGGCCGCCGGCTGCTCTGCTGGCTTCGCCCATGGGCCACGGCCTCCTCCTCGGCCATTGCCACAGCGTACTCGCCGGTTCCGCACCCATGGTGCTCTTTCCTCCGTGGCGGCGATTCCGGCCCGCGCCCATTTGCCGCCGCGCGACTAAGCTCGCATGACGGCTTCGCCGCCGCCAAGGCTCGAAGTTGAGGCCGCCTCCACATGCGACTCAACCAGCGCGCAGCGCCCAACTCAAGGAGGCGGACCTCCTCAAGTCGCTTGTGCCGCCGCCAGAGCGGGTCCGCTGCTTGCCGCCGCGCTTCGACTTGGGAGCGAGTAGGCCGACTTCTTTGGAGCAAGCGAGCCGCTGCCCTCGGCAGCTGGCTCCACCCGAGCACCACCGCGACGACGACTCGGGGCGACGCCGACTCCGTCGCCACGAGAGGCGCGGTTGTCGCCCATCTTCAGCCAGCGCCATTGCGCATGCGAGAACATCAAGAACCTCATCCCTATTGTTCTTGATCCGCAAGCCTCAAACTACTCCAAATGGCGTGGTTACATCTCGCTCATCCTCGGCCGGTTTGCCACGAAGGACCACGTCCTCAGCAACGCCATCCACCACCACGATGCGGCATGGTCCCGCATGGACTGTGTTGTCGTCTCATGGATCCTCAACACCATCGCCCCTGACCTCCTCGACGTCATCCACACAGCGTGGCGGCATCATCGCCGGGCGGCGTGGCGGCTCGCCTCGAGCAACAATTCTTCAACAACCGTGAATCACGCGCCATGCTCCTCGACGCCGAAGTTCCGCACTCTCGCCAGGTGCTCTATCTCGTGGATGAATCATGCCGCAAGATGAAGCACATGGCGGACGCGTTCGCCGACCTTGGCGAACCCGTCCTGGACCGGACCCTGGTGTTGAATGTGCTGCGCGGCCTCAACGAACGCTTCCAGTTCATGTCGCAGCTCGTCACGAGGCAGAAGCCCTTCCCATCCTTCTCCGACGTCCGTGCTGACCTGAGGCTGGCCGAACTCAACATGGCGTCACCTTCAGCTCCGCCCTCGGCCCTCATCACCGCGCCGTCCAGCAAGCCGCCTGCTCCGTCCCCTGCTCCTCAGCGCCCTCCACAGCCTGCTGGGGGACAGCAGCTCGGCCACACCCCTTCTCCTTCACGCCATCCTCGGTGCTTTGGGGGCAGCAGTCCAAGAACGGCAATAACATGGACGACGGCGCCGCGCGATGGGCGGGCCAAGGCGGCGCCCAAGCCGGCACTCAAGCCGGCCCACCGAATAGCCAACAGTGGCCATCCTTCTTCAACCCATGGACCGGGTCCATCCAGATGTAGCTCGGGTCCAACCCAGGCGGCTCTCGCGGTCCACCGCCCCACGTGCCTCCACCTCCACCGCCACAGCAAGCTCTCATGGCCGGGGTGCCCCCGGGTTACTTCGCTCCTCCGCCGGTCCCCGGGGCATACTACCAGCGCGCCAAGCGCCAGCCCACCGCCGTCGCCGCCTGGACTACCGAGGGCCTCGCCAACGCTTTCAAAGACCGTCACCCTCACTCCGCCGTCAAGCACCTCGGATTGGGTCTTGACTGGGTGCTTCCTCTCTCACATAGCCAGCACTCTGGTATGGTCACCATGTCACCAACCTCCTCCTTTCCTTCTTCAATTGTTGTGGGAAATGGCGCCACTCTTCCGGTTGTTGGCACCGGCTACTCAACCCTCCCTGGCCCATTTCGCCTCAACAATGTTCTCATTGCCCCAGACATTATTAGAAATCTCTTGTCAATTCGGAAATTCACCACTGATAATCTTGTTTCTGTCGAGTTTGACCCTCTTGGTGTTTCTGTGAAGGATCTTCGTACCAGGAACCTCCTCCTTCGCTGTGACAGCTCGGGACCCCTCTACACCTTACAGCTCCCGACATCACCATCCGGTTCCTGCGCTCTCGTGGCCACTCCCTCCTCCACTACTTGGCATTATCGGCTCGGTCATCCCGGGAAGGCTACTCTTCAGACTCTTGCCAAGTCGTCCTCCATCATCTGCAGCAAGCCCGACGATGACACTCTCTGCCATGCTTGCCAGCTTGGGCGTCATGTCCGCTTGCCTTTTAACAATTCCTTGTCTCGTGCAACTAAAAATTTCGACTTGATACATTGTGATTTGTGGACTTCCCCAATCATCAGTGTATCCGGTTTCAAATATTATCTAGTCATTATTGATGATTGCTCGCATTTTGTTTGGACTTTCCCTCTTAAGCTAAAGTCTGACACCTTTAACGCTCTCTCCATTTTTTTTGCCTATGTGCTCACTCAGTTTGGTTGCACCATCAAGACTGTGCAATGTGACAACGGGCGTGAGTTTGACAACTCCGCGTCTCGCGCTTTCTTTTCTGCCAAAGGTGTCACCCTTCGCATGTCATGCCCCTACACCTCGCAGCAAAATGGCAAAGCCGAGCGCATGCTTCGCACCGTCAACAACGTCACCCGCACCTTGCTCTTCCAAGCATCCATGCCCCCCACTTACTGGGCTGATGCCCTTGCCACCGCCACTCTCCTCATCAATCGCCTCCCAACCAAGACCCTGAACATGAGCACTCCCTTCTTTGCCCTCCATGGCACTCTCCCCTCCTACCATGACCTTGAGCTTTGGGCACACTGCTACCCCAACCTCACCGCCACCACTCCTCACAAGCTCGCTCCACGATCTTCCTTGTGCGTTTTTCTTGGCTATTCTCCTGACCACAAGGGGTATAGGTGCCTTGACCTCGCCACAAACCGCGTCATCATCTCACGCCACGTTGTCTTCGACGAGACAACGTTCCCTTTCTCCCTCCGTCGACCTTCGCCACCCACCCACGAGCTTGACTTTCTAACTAACGACGATTCGTCGTCAGTTTTACTTCCACCTGCAGGTACACCGTGGGCTGCTGGCCCTCTGCCAGCCCGTGTGCCCTCCCAGCCGGTGCCCACCTTGGGCGCACCGTCCCTCCGGCAGCCTCCGCCGGGCTTCGTGCCCCGGCCGCCGGGCTCCTCTCCAGCTCGACCTGTACAGACGCCCATGGCGCCCTCGGGACAGGCGCCCACTTCGTCGGCGCCCATGGCGCCCTCTGCAGAGGCGCCCCCGGCGCCCTCTGCTCCGGTGCCCACGGGTCCTTCTGTACAGGCACCCGTGGTGGCACCCCCTGTACAACTACCTCCGGCGCCCTCCTTCAACAAACCACCGGTCATTCATGTCTACACCCGGCGTCCACCCGCCCCCAGCTCACCACCTGCGTCCCCTGTTGGACCACCTCCTCGACGCTCCACAATGATTCCTTCACCGCCGCGCTTCGTCAAGAGTGACCCTCCTCTTCCAACAGGAGCTGTCCCCATCCCGCCAGTCGCCAACACTCATGGCATGGCAACCCGCGGGAAGTCCGGTTACCGACAGTCGCGCCTCGCGCTGCACACTGAGGCTCTGTCACCTCTACCACGCTCCTGTCGTGACACCCTCGCCGACCCACACTGGCGTCGGGCCATGGAAGAGGAGTATGCTGCCCTACAGGACAACAACACTTGGGATCTCGTTCCCCGTCCTGCCAAGGCAAATGTGGTCACCGACAAATGGATCTTCAAGCATAAGTTTCATGCCGATGGTTCCCTGGACAGATACAAGGCTCGCTGGGTGCTTCGCGGGTTCACCCAACGTCCCGGCGTTGATTACGACGAGACATTCAGCCCCGTCGTCAAGCCTGCTACCGTCCGGACTGTCCTCACCTTGGCTCACTCCCGGGATTGGCCAATTCATCAACTTGATGTGAAAAACGCATTCCTCCACGGGACCCTGTCAGAAACAGTCTACTGCTCACAACCCACTGGTTTTGCTGATCCTGCACTTCCTGGTCATGTATGCAAGCTCAACAGATCCCTCTATGGACTAAAGCAGGCTCCACGGGCATGGTACAACCGGTTTGCCCCCTTCCTACTTTCTTTGGGTTTCAGTGAAGCAAAGTCAGATACATCCCTCTTCATACTTCGCCGTGCCACCGAGACAGTCTACTTGCTTCTCTATGTCGACGACATCGTCCTCACTGCCTCCTCCGAGCAGCATCTTGCATCGCTTCGATTGCAGCCCTCAAGAACGAAGTTTGCCATGAAGGACCTTGGCCCCTTCACCATTTCCTCGGTATATGGCGATTCGGCGCCACAAGGATCACCTCACTCACTGTCACGGCGTCAAGACATCCACGGACATTCTTGCTCGCCATGGGATGAGCAAGCGCAAGCCTTGCTCCACTCCTGCTGACACATGCGACAAAGTTCTGCAGATGCGGGTCCTCCTGTTGTCGATCCCATCGCCTACCGCATGACCTTTGCAGTGCACTCCAATGCGACATTTACTCGACCCGACATTGCGTATCTTTGTCCAAAGAATCTGCCTTCACATGCATGATCCGGGAAGTTCACCTTTGGCCGCTTAAGCGGATCCTTGTACCTTCAGGCACCCTTAACTTCGGTCTGATTATTCCTCGGTCTGCTCCAACGCAACTTGTTGTGTATACTGATGCGGATTGGGCCGGCTGCCCTGACACCCGACGCTCCACCTCTGGCTATGCTGTCTTCCTCGGGGGCAGTCTCATCTCCTGGTCCTCCAAGCGGCAGCCCATCGTCTCTTGGCCGAGCGCCGAGGTTGAGTATCGGTTGTTGCCTAACGGCGTTGTGTCGAAGCATCTGGGCTGCAACAACTTCTACTGAGAGCTGCACCACCCTTCACTGATCGCCTCCCGCTGCTCATCGCGACAACGTCGGCGCCGTCTACCTCTTCTCCAACCCCATTCAAGCATCAGCGCACCAAGCACGTGGAAATCGACCTCCATTTCGTCCGAGAACGCGTTGCTATTGGTCTTTGTTCGTGTGCTTCACGTTCCCACCACCTCACAGTTCACGAGATGTCTTCACCAAAGGGCTTCCGTCTTACGTGTTCATGGACTTTCGCTCCAATCGAGCGTTAAGCTCCACCGCCGTTCATTGCTGGGGGTGGGGTGTTAGAATTAATTGCTCATTTAGTGTAATCTCCTAGCTAAGCGTGGCAAAGCGCTTGACTATATCTGCCCTCTCACACTGCTGACCCCTTGGGCCATCCCCTCTCTCTCCTATATAAGTGTAATCCCTTCTGTAATCCATTATCAAGGAATATACAAAGCCTAATGGCCTTTGTCTAATACTTTCATTCCCTTTTCTTTTTCTTATGCATAGAATCGCAAATTTGCTGCATAAACTTGAAGACAAATATTGACCAATGATTTTCTGTATTGAGCAAAATCTATTTTTCTAAATACCTGGAGCTAAAAATCTGATAGTATTAAATTTGAATTTGCCCAAATGTTAAATGTCTAGTAGTATTACATTCGTACTGTATACCCAAATGTTACTAGTCTGATAGTATTTAATTTGAATTTGGTACATAAATATTATTTGTGCATCATAGCTAAATTTGGTTTTTGAATGTGACATTCCTATTTTGGAATTTCAGCTTCAAAAATTTAGATTGTTCTGTGCTTTTATTCACATAATTGATTTCTCTTATGGTGCAGAATGGCTGAAAGTTTGAACCATACTCTTTTGATACTCCACATATAGTTTCTCTTTTATACATTGGTCTTACTGTTTAGGTTGGTGTTTATTTAGTTACAGAGGAGTCCATCCCTCCAATTTGTTTTTCGGCTTTTGACATCTATGCAAACTAACTGTATGGTAATATGTTAATCTTGTAATGAACATTTTACCTTTTTCTAATAAAAAAGGTCCACAGTGATGTATGAGAATCTCAATCCTTTAGGGCCTTATGGTTGTTTTCAACTTTATATAGTGCGATAGGTTTTACCTCCTTGTTTCTTGTGCACCTTTTATGTTCTAACATTTCTGTACTCTTATAGGGCTGAAATACTTCTGCTCCAGATACAGTATTTGCAAACTCTGAGTGAGGCAGTGTATCCTTTGTTTTCAATTACTTTTATGTGGACTTAGCATATGAGTTGTAACTTTCAGAACATTAATAGACTCTGCTAATATATAGTTCAGGACTTCAGGTAGATTCTTGGTCATGCCATAGGAGGCATTGATGTACTAGCTAATTGTTGAGTCCTTGACTTCTAATTAGATTTGGCAACGTCAACAATTTGAAAATTTTATGTGAAAATGGACGGGTACACAAATTCGCAAACTGCATTTGTTGGCCTGCATTTATGATTCAGAAGTTCCATCGGCAAAAGGATAATACCAAAGCTTCACCTACACTAGATTCTGTCTCTGGTCCAATTTATTGTCTTGATAGAACTGAATGGATTGACTACTCTATAAAATTGAGCAATGCCCTTTGTTCTTTTGTTCTTCCTTCGGAGGATATCGGACACTGTTCTGATGAAATAGCTGTCAGCCAAATTGTATTATCCATCCCATTGGCATACCTGGAGCAATCTGTGAGATGGATCATAAGGATTCTTATGACCGTCTTTCTATGTATCAGAGCGTGTACCAAGGAAACTGAGCTGCCAAACCACATAAAGTGAGTTTTTTCTTAATGTAGTCATGAATCTCCCATTGAACCAGAATATTTAAGTATTTAACTATCGCGTTTCGTTAAGTTTGTTTCACCACAAAGAAGATATACTTTTTGGAATTTGACACATTTTCCCATCATAACGCTTTGCTGGAATAGTCAGTCTTTCATCAATGGCAACTCTAACATATTAATTAGTTATATTTATTAGGTAGCTATTAATCTTCTGAACCCTGTAGTCAGTTGCAACTGCTTTCTGTGCAATAGATTAGTATGTTACCAGATAGCAGCTACTACTGTACAAAGTACTAACCAAATCCTGAACTCATTCTGCAGGATTTTTTCAAAGACCCTTCAATATTACGTGATTCGCATGTTCAAAAGAGTTCTTATTTCAACACCAGCTCTACTCCCAGCTTTCCGAGAGGAAGGTGTTTGGGACCTGATATTCTCAGGGAATTTTTTCTACTTTGGTTCATCTGTAGAAGACACTTGTTTTCATACTGTTACAGATATTCAAAATGGTGATGTTAACAGTAACCAAATATCTATTCATTCTGAAAGCTTGTATCGTACCGATGTTAAAATTCTTCAAGCGGAAGCTATTTCCTTCTTGGAGTTTGCTGCAACACTCCATGAAAACACATATAACACGGTAAAACTTTTGTCTTTTATAATGTAATATTGTAGGCTCAGTGTCTAATCACCAGTATTTTTTGTTTTTTTTTTCTCGAACACACCAGTATTTTGTTCTGAATCTCTTCTACTTTATTTTTCTTTTCATTGTAGCCAGAATGCTCGGCACTGCTAGATGCACTTGAACATTGCATTTCTGATCCTTTGGCAGTTAGCACTCTTCTCAAAAGCTTCCGTGTTATTCTACAACTTGCGACAGAACATACTCTAGCTTCATTTGAATCTTTGGATGTAATTACAAGAGTCCTTAAGGCTGCTTGCCGTCAGGCACAAGAGCTACGAAACTTCAGCAATTTTCTTTGTTCTCAATTTAAAAATATTGAAGGCAGAACTGAGGACGCTCTTATATGTACAGAATTAGCTTTGAGCCTCTTTATGGAATATGTCACTATATCGATAGATGGAAGAATTCTCGTTTTGCACAATGCTGACTGTATTGAGTGCTTATTTGACTTGTTCCATGAACAGAACATTGAAAGCATGTGCTGGAGCAAGTTCTTGCCTTATTTAGGGTAAATCTATGCTTATCTTCTGTTCTAAAAAAGTTTATGTTTACCATAAGTTCTCCTTCAGTCTTCTTATTAATGTTGGGAGCTAAAATATGGTTCCCTGTAACCAGTTGCCTTCATCGTCAGCACAAGATCATACAGCAAAGTTGCAGTTATGCTCAAAGTATTTAGAGAACTTAGCACGGGCAAATGAAAAAGAAAAGGTCAACACAGAGTTGTTAATTGACCTTCTGGTCAACATGAGAGAGATCATAATGATGGATCACATGGTAGGTTCCATAATGGTTTTGTATGTAGTAGTAGAATTACAATTGTTTTGCCATACCAGTAATGCATAATGGTTGACAAATGTTCTTCTATACTTCACTTTCTAGTACTATCAAAATCTGTTTTGCACATGACGAAGGGTGCTTTCTTCATATTATTTCCTTATTGAATGGAAATTTCAATAAGGTGACTGATGAATGGCTTGTCCTTAATGTCCTTCAGACCTTAACTTTATTACTTGAAGGGAATGATGCATCTAAGGTAATCATATTGACACATGTGGTTCATGCAATAACTCTGTTTGGTGTGTGACAACAATCTTGGTTCGTTTTGTCTAGGGTGCCTTTAGGTTAGTAGTTGGTGCAGGTTATCAAACATTACAGAGCCTGGTACTGGATTTCTACAAATGGTCGCCAAGTGGGAGACTCTTGGATGCATTGCTTTGCATGCTGGTTGATTGCAAGTTTGAGTTAGATGAGAAAACAACTATAAAGGCTAGTAGTTATCAATCTTTTGAAAAGCTAATACAATATAAGTGTTTCTGGGTTCATTTAATTATGGCATGCTTCGTTCTTTCATTATCTTTACTAATATAATGTTTGCCCTATAATTATTTCAGAATGAAGATGCTGTTGTATTACTTCTAAATATTTTGCAGAAGGTCTTTTCTCTTACGCACAGAGATGATAGTACCATTTCCTCTTATAATTCCCATTTATATGCTTTTTTTCTTGACATCAACCAATTTCTAATTGGCAGAGCAGCACGCCACTTCAGCACTATGGGCTTGTAATCTTACAGCAGTTGCTCAAGCAATCCATTACAAATAGAACCTCTTGTTTCAGAGCCGGGTTGCTTAGTTTTCTTCTTGATTGGTTTTCAGTAGAGGAAAAGGATGATACAGTTATTGCTATTGCAGAGTTAATACAGATACTTGGTGCACACAGTATATGTGGCAAGGACATCCGGAAAATCTTTGCCCTTTTGCGTTGTGAGAAGATTGGTGCCAAACACAAGCACATGTCTTTGCTTCTGACAAGTCTCAGTCACATGCTGAAGGAAAAGGGGCCAGAAGCTTTCTTTGAGTTCAGTGGCCATGATTCTGTGCGTGTTGTCCTATTTATTTAGCAATTTAAAATTTCGTCTGTTGTGATCCATAGTTGATTTTCAAAGATTATGCGCATAAAACAAAGTTGAGCAATTCAGGATAGGACACCGAGTTCAATGGTAATTTTGTGACTGTCTCATTGGCATGTGGCCCTGAACCCCACGTCATTGAGATATAAAAAAACTAGACCAACCCAGGAGGAACCAGGTGGCATTTCATTAGGAAGAAAATAGGCGCCCAAATTTGCCTCGATGAGGGCTTGGACCTAGGTGGTCTGGGTATACATCCACACCCTTGACCAACTGAGCTAGCTCATCAAGATACAAATCCTGAATTACCACTGAATTTATTGTGAAGTACTTAATTATACTGTCAAAATTGTGCAGTTATTCAACACTAATGATTCTTTTGAATCCATGAGCATCAGAATGTGAAAGTACTCATCTCTCTTATCCTGCTACAAGAAAACATATATATAAATATATATAGTTTGTTTGAGAAAAAAACATATTTATAGTGTCTCATCAAGCTGTACTTTGACTGCTTCTTATCTCATTATATAAATGGGTCAATGCTAGTAAATGGCAAAGGTGTCGGCAATAGTAGCTGGAAGCTATTCAGACATGGAGTGCAAGAGAGGTCAGGTGCTTTTAAAAGCAAAGGAAGAAGAAAATTAGGATTTTTAATATTAGGGATAGATTGTATTTCATCATGAACCTTTGAAGGCTTTTGATACAGATGTTCTGCCAATATTTTTTTTTTCACTTCATGGGCTTGGGCTCCTTTGATATTTTACACACTGAGGAGTTGAGGTTTTGGAGTTTGGCTGGGGCTTGAGGTGTGTCTTATCTCCTTGCCCTTGCGCCAATTGGTACCTAAAGTTTGGCCAGGATTGTTTTTTCCTTGTTTACTAGGTGCGTGAGTTTTATTTTCTTCTAGTGCTAGGTGTTTGTGTGTGTGTGATCAGTATGGAGGCTCTAACCCCCCTCTTTTCTTCTTAATATAATGATACACAACTCTCATGCGTGTTCGAGAAAAAAAAACTTCCCTAATTCTGCTTTTAAAGTATTTGATTTGTTGATTGACTGGCATTCTTTCTTTTTCCTTGACAGGGTATAGAAATAAAATCACCCTTTCTATGGCCTTACAATAGAGGGCTATCTTTTTCTTGCTGGTTAAGGGTTGAAAACTTCCCAGACAGTGGCATGATGGGCCTTTTCTCCTTTTTCACAGAAGACGGAAAGGGGTGCTCAGCTGTTCTTAACAGAAGTGCTTTAGTATATGAGGTAATTGTGATTTTATCCCCACTTTTGAATCAAATCAAGTTAGGTCCCATTTGGCTCCAAAAGGATTTTAAGAATCTGGATAAAAAAAAAATCTAATGTGTTTTATTGGATTGTGTGTCTGTATGTTAAAATCCACTAGAATCTAGTCTGTTTGGATGGGATTCTAGGATTCTGAGATTTTTTTTAATCCAGATTCTTAGAACTCCTTAAGTGCCAAATGGGACCTTATTCAGTACAGAAATATTTATTGGATGTGTATTTACTTTGCAACAAAGAAATGTGCCATTAGCTAACTAGTGTATAAACATGATTTACCTTTAGAGGGGCCACTCCTCAATCCTCACTATTGGAGCTTTTCTTTAAATATTGAACTAGTTTGAGCCAGATGGGTTTTGACACAAATTGATTATTTGGTCTGCACAACCCATAGCTTCTTGTGTAATATATTTTGATAGATGTTAATATTTTTTTGCTAAACTTGGTCAAAGTTAGATGAGTTTGACTTAAGACAAAGCTAAAATGACTTAATAATTTGAAACGGTGGGAGTAGATGAGACCTTGGCTGCATCTGATCATTGACATTGGTTACATCAGTTAACCATGTTCCACTATTTATTGACTTCCAGCTTGCTTGACAAATAAATGGAAGTTGGCATAATAAAATCTCATTAGGAACATACTTGGTTTGTAAATAAATTTAAGAAATAGGTTGAATCCAATGGGACCATTTTTTTGGAAAAAAGAAGTGCTAATCTAGGCCATATGGATCCATTTGTAATGTTACATGATTTTGATGTCTGTACAATATGCATTTGACTCATGATGTAGTAATGCTGATTCCTGTTTGAAGAAATTTCAGCTATTTCTTATAGTTTTGTATGATATTTATGGGAAATGACTGATTATTTATAGGTTTTCAAACAATTCTCTAGCTATATTGTAATTTGCAGATGTGCAATACAGCTGAGCTTAGAGACCCTTTTTTCCCCCTTTGATCTGGACTTTCGAATCTCTAGAGTATAAAGTACTTTGTGTTTGTTTTTTCATCATAGGAGCTGTCAATATCTTACTCTGCACAACTTGAATTTATAACTTTCGCAGGAATAACGAACCCATGCTAAACTCTGGTCTTTCCCTGTTGGCAGTCTATCTATCAAAAACATCAGTGTGTTTTGTTACCACTCAAGCTCCCACCAAAGGAATGGAGATTCCTTTCTGTTACTCATACAATTGGGAGGGCTTTCTCTGGAGGAAGCCAACTGAGGTGTTATGTAGATGGAGAGCTAGTATCATCCGAGAAGTGTGGGTGAGCAAATTCATCTGCATTTGCAATTTCAAATAACATTAAATTAGACTGAAAATCATGTGAGCTCCATTCTCCATTTTAGGTGTATATAATGCGTGAATTAGTTATGGTCTTCTGGGCCTATGTAGTTCTAGAAAAAACTAGACCAACCCAAGCGGTGTCTATATATACCGCCCAAGAGGTTCAATGCAAATCCTTCCTAGTTCGAGCAGCAACAGATCGTCATGGTGTCTCACTGTGGGCATCGATGGGCCGCTGCACTGCTCGTCATCGTCGTCGACCCTCTTCACCGCCCTGTGGAGTCGCCATTGTTGGGAACCGCTGCCCTCCCTAGCACGCCCGATCCGCCTCCCCTCCCAGTCTCCCACCCCAGCACCGGTGCTTCCTCTGCCCTTGAGTGTGAACGTGTGGCTGTGGAGGAGGTCCTTGGGGATGCCGGGTTGCCGCTGTTCCGTTGGGGATGCCGGGTTGCTGCACCATGGTGGCTGGTCATCGTGAGTGGATGTCGGACCATCGTGCCGTCCCCCGGGCTTGCGACCACCATATGAACTGATCAAGGATCAGGATTGCGTCGCTGTCAATCAATCCCTCAATGCTCAATCCTTGACTCTTCCAAGAGCAATGCCGGTCACTGCCTATCCATATGATGACGCCACCCATGCTGCTGGTCCTCTTCACGCTGGCTCTAGATTCGAGTCCATGCCTACTGCCCCTATGGGACATCGCCACTAATGTCGCTGAGGGATGACGTGTGCGTGCTTGTTGATATGTCTGAGCAGCCCCATCTACCTTCGCTGTTTGGTCAGCTCATCGTCCTGCTACGGTTCGTCGGCTGGAAGCTGGTGATTATGTGTACTCGTGTGTCTCTGTTAATTCTTTGGATCCACGCCTCCTTCCACGGCTTTGATTACGTCCACTTCAATCTCAGAGATACTTCGGTGACAAGAAGGGCCAGTCTGACAGTCTGCGTTGTCCCACTACGACCGCCGGGGGGTGTTACATTATATTTGGTAGTTAGGATTGTAATTCGATATTGCCATATGTATCCCAGGAGATGTCTGCCCCCCTGAGTCTCTATACTCTATATGTACCACTCAAGAGGCTCAATACAATACGTCCATGTATTATACGCAATCCTTCCTGCTCACAGGAGGAACTAGGTGGCTTTATATTTTAGAGTAAAGTGCACCAGCGGTCCCTAAACTTGCACTGCTGTGTCATCCTGGTGGTGACACAGCAGTGCAAGTTTAGGGACTGCTGGTACACTTTACTCTATATTTTAAGTAGAAAATATGCACCCAAATTTGCCTTGACGAGGATTTAACCTTAGGTGGTCTAGGCATACATCCATACTCTCAACCAAGTGAGGTAGGCTCTGATATAGCCAATGTAGTCCTGGCAAACCACTTCACAAAATGTTATTTGACAAATTAATGTATCAAAGTTTTTATTTAGCAGTGTGCAGCACAGCACAGCTGCACCACTGTTGACGAACCAAAATCCTACAATTTTCGTTAGAAACTTTATCATAATCACATCTTAAAAATCCTAACAGTGTTTGGTCTTTTGTTTATGAATTCAAATTTTCATAAAGTAATGATGCATTCGTGACACTACAATTTATTTCATGTCTCCATTACCAAATGAGTGCTGTTAACTTGTTTTACAGCATTTACATGTGCTATATATCTTTTAGAACTTTGATATCTATCTGAAGCGGCCACATGGAAATTTTGTTGGTAGTTCATCATGAAAGCTGGTTACATAAAATATTTTTTAATAAGTTTTGCTGATTTGTTTTTGTGCAAGTGAAGTTTAACAACATCAATACTTATTTAATAAAAAATAATTTTTTTTAAAAAAAGAGAAAAGGCACCAATCAAGATCGCTACACATCGGATACATACTGAATACTAGCATCTAAAGTACCAGGTTCTTTTTTTTCTTGAACATGTAGGAGAGCTGCGTATCATTATATTAAGAAGAAAAGGAGTCTAAGAAGACTCAAAACAAGCCCATTAGGGCATGAGTTTACATGAGCGATTAGCCAGGAAAACTATTAGACATGTATAGTCCTGTATACATTGTATACATGTCCAAATACAATGTATACAGGACTTTACATGTCTAATACTATACATGGATAGCTATCCTATACAATCGATCCTAATGGATCCTTTCCTAATACCCGCCAGCAGTCGTAGCGGTAGGATCACGGACGCACAGACTGGTCCGAAAGTCGGTGAACAACTGTACAGGAAGACCCTTGGTCATGATATCCGTGAACTGGTGCACCGAGGGAACATGGAGGACGCGAACCTGGCCCAGGGCCAGCTTTCAATTGATCCTAATGGATCCTTTCCTAATAGATATGCTGATTTAGTCGAGAATTCTCTGGAAGGAGATGGTGTCCAAAGATGCTGGTCTTCCACTCCAGGAGTAAGGACCACCTCAAATAAGATCTCCCATAATTGCAGGTATTCCAATAGAGCTTCTGTTGTCAGACCACCCCTAATATCTGAACCACGAGTTATCCATCAATGCTGTATGAACTGTTCTTCGGTTTAAAATTTTCTTAGGCACATACCTATACAAGGATGGCGCAAGGTCTGTCAAGGATTTCCCATACACTCATTTATCACACCAGAAGAGTGTCTTGTATCCATCACCCACAATAGAAATAACCGAAGTAGAGAACATTGCCACTGAATTAGGATGCACCTGAATGTCAAGACCAGCCCATGGATGGCAGGTTGTGTCTTCTTCAACCATAACCATCTCATTCTTGAAGCCCCAGCCAAGTAATTCCAAATCAAGAATTCCCAGACCTCCTAAATCAATTGGCCTCTTGACCTGGCCCCATGCAACAAGGCAATGACCTCCACTAACCTCCCTGCAGCCTTTCCAAAGGAAGGCTCTTCGAATCTTGTCTATTGCTTTAATTACCCATTTAGGAAAATTCAAGGCGAGGAGAGGTTCTTATTTTGTGAAGTTGCTTTTCATTGCAAATTATCTGTGTTTTGTGCATGCTTTATGTTTTTTGAGTTTTCATTTAACACTATTTGTAGCTTGTGATACTGAAAATTCGTCCTTCGTATTTTAAGGTATGCAAAATTCAACGAAGCAATGACTCACTGCACCATTGGCACAGAATTGATGCCTGTTGGTGACGAATCTATCTCAATTGGTTTCGAAAAAACTTTTGCCTTCACAGGTCAAATGGGCCCAGTCTATGTGTTTTCTGATGCACTTTCTTCAGAGCAAGTAAAGGGCATATATTTTCTGGGACCAAGTTACATGTACTCTTTCCATGGTGATGATTGCTACAGGGGAATTCTTGATGCTAGAGACGGCCTTTCATCAAAGATAATTTTTGGTTTCAATGCACAGGTTCAAATTCTTTCCACTGACTTACATGATATATAACTTATTTCATAAATTCTAACACTCTGGGTCAAATAGTTGTGGTCCATCTCTGTAATTCTAGTGATGGGGCTTGTTCTACTCATGAGTTTTTAAGTGGGTTTACGTATCATATAAACCCAAGCAGTGGCGAAGTTACGTTGTAGCTTGTGGGTGCAGATGCACCCACAAAAAAAAAAAAAAAATGAAAAACCAATACTAGGATCAAATTTTCACCATGGTTGCAGCTCAAATCTTCACACCTACAAGGCAAGTGTGCCCCCTTTAATTTGCTCTAGTTTCGCCACTGAACCCAAGTGAATTGCTTTATGTGTCCATAGTCCGCCCTCTTTGGGGGCTGGGTCTTAATTTTTTTGAGCCCTCAGTTGTTACACTTGCATCAAGAGCCAATATCTTCAGATTTACTAATAATTTTTTTTTCTATTTTCCCCTTGTCCCTAGGCTAGTGAAGGTCGGAGTTTGTTCAGTGTGTCATCAGCACTCAATAGTGCTGACAGAAATACATTTGAAGCAACAATTATGAGGGGGACAAAGTTATGCTCACGACACTTGCCTCAGGATATTATTTACTGCGTTGGTGGTGTCTCTGTATTTTTCCCACTCTTCACTCAATTTTTTGATGCTGCAAGTGATATTGAGAAATGTTGCCATACATCTGTTATCAATGATAAATTAGCGGCTGAGGTCATTGAGCTAGTCGCAACTGTTCTGGATGGAAATGTATCAAATCAACAACAGATGTATCTACTTTCTGGGTTATCTATTCTAGGCTTCTTGCTTCAATCAGCTACCCCACAGCTGTTAACAACCAAAACTCTTTCCGCACTGAAGTATATGTTTGACATTCTGAGGAAGTGTGGTAATCTCTCTTCCCCTCTCCCTCTGTGTTCGCATTCATACAATAAGATGTACATTACTTATACTTTTTTCTGCATATTCAGGCATGTCAAAAGTTCTCCTCAAAGATGCTATCTCACAAATTTATTTGAATCCTCAAATATGGGTATATGCAAGCTATGAAGTACAAAGAGATCTCTATTTGTTTGTGATAAAATATTTTGAAACAGATGGAAGGCTTTTACCGCTTCTATGTGGACTTCCTTGGGTTATTGATATTGTGTGCCGATATTACTGGGAAAAGGCAGATTCTAGGCATGTTGTTGCTTCCAAGCCTTTGCTTGATCCAGTTACCAAACGAGTTATTGGAGAGAGACCTAAGGTAGTTGAAATTCGCAAGCTTCGTCTTCTCCTCCTGAGTTTAGCAGAAATGAGCTTAAAGTAAGCACTTCCACCTCCTACCAAGCCTTTTCCATTCCATAGGTAGTAATCTTTTGTTTGATCCCATCTATATAGAGTCTGGATATCTTTTAGTATCGTTTTTGCCACACGTCACATTACATTTTTCATATGTTTTCATAGCATTCTGTAGGCATCTTCTATTCTTAATATGACATGTTGGTTCACAGGCTAAAAGTTTCTCCAGATGACATAAGAGCGCTTGTTGCTTTTTTTGAGAGGAGTCAAGACATAGCATGTATCAGCGATGTACTGGACATGATCATCCGTGCTCTTTCACAGGGTGCAGTTTTTTCATCATTTGTTGAGAATGTAAATTACCTTGGTGGTTGTTGCATTTTCATTAATCTTCTTAAAAGGTAATATATTCTTAATTTTCTCAACCTAGAGCTAATTTCTACGAGTGCTACAGCTGCTTGGAACTAAGTTGCTTGATAATGTAAATTATGAGCTGCTTGACAATCTGCAAGACAAGTAGGCAACACATTAATTTCAAGTTGTTATTCTCTTTGACTAAAGTATATAATGAGTGTACTAGTGTTCATCCTAACCTCTAAGTCAAAGGGAAAATCCTGAAGTTGTAATGAACTTAGATCATTGGTTGAATAGGCTGGTCTCCTGCGGTAGGTGCTGGACACCTGACCGACTTGCATGCCGAGGACTTAAATTCATGCCTGCCTCTTCTTAGACCAAGCCGTGAAGTCTATCGACCACCTTCTCATATCCTGTGTGTTTGTGCGACAGTTTTGGTTTATCTTCTTGTGGAATGTCAGGATTCAATTCCTCTATTCACAGCCAGGTGAAAAATCTTCTGATGACTGGTGGGTTAGTGTTGAAGGTTTGGTGGATAGTCAAGTTTGAAAAGGCCTCAATTTTGTTACCATTTTGGGTGCTTGGTTGATTTGGAAACACCGCAATAGGTGTGTGTTTGATGGTCCTGTTCCTAACATAGCTGCAGTCATGATGCTCACTTTTGAGGAACTACATCTCTGGGGTTTAGCCAGGGCTCGAGCAATTTCTAATCTTCTTGCCCTTGCAGCCGAAGGTTGTTACTTTGTGGTCTAGTCTTAGCTCTAGGTCGTTTTATTTTTTAGTCAAGGTGCTACTGTTTTTCCTTTTCTCTTGGTTGTGTGTGGGTCTGTTCTTGTAAGGGTTCTTATTCCCTTGTTAATATCATGGTATACAGCTCTCCTGCGTGTTCGAGGAAAAAAAATAGGAGATAGATCTTTGGAAAGAAGGGGGAGGAAGAAGATTGGGAGAAGATTTAATTCATTATATACTTAATGAAACCACTGAATCCTGATCCCATATATTATATGTGCTATGTATTGTAAGAGAGATTCATCTGTTTGTTTCTTGTAAATTGTTCTTCAAGGGCCTTCTGTTTGCCTTTATTTTTTATGTGAATTGTGCCTCTAGATTTTGCATATTGTTGTCAGTAAAAAAAATGACTTGAAAATGCATAATTTCTCCATGCATAATATATATTTAACGTACACAGTTACTTTTTGGTAAATATCTGACACTAGTTTTTTCTTCAGGGAATTTGAGCCAGTCCGTTTGTTGGGGCTTCAGCTCCTTGGAAAACTTTTGACTGGGATTCCTTCTGAGAAGGAAGGAACGAAACTATTTACCCTACCCTTAAGGAAGTCTAGACCCATGTCTGTAAACTTAACAAAAGAAATAACAGCTGCACCTCAGTTGTTCTTGAATACAATGTCTGAAAGGCTATTCAAATTTCCACTATCAGATAACTTATGTGCCGCACTTTTCAGTGTTCTTAGTGGAACCAGTGCACAACAGGTTATTTTACTAACTTTATGTCATATTGTTTTTTCTCTCTTTTTTTTCTGTTTCACCAGTATTAACCGTATATGTGATCTGCTGTTTTCTCTGTATAGGTTCCCCAGGAAAATTCTCAATCTGATCCATCAAGGGATAGAAATTGCAACCTTTTAAGCTTGCCACCCTTTTCCCTTCCTCATATTTTGATCTGCATCTTTAGATTTATGCATTCTTGTAAAGATTCCTCAGAACGCACAAGAATCTTAAATCTTCTTCTTGGTTTGCTGGATTCAAACTCTTCAAACATTGAGGCATTAATGGTACGTATTATTTTATTGGGTCTATACTTGTTACTTATGTGTGTTCTGTGTTGATCCTGGAATTTTTATCAGGAGCACAGTTGGAACTCTTGGCTTGAAACATCCACAAAGCTTGATGTATTCAAGGACTACAAATCAGTTTCTAAAGGCGAGCCTGACGATGTGAAGACAGATGAACTAAGTCTTGTGAGGAACTTGTATTCTTTGGTCCTTTCATACTACCTGCGCTTCGTTAGAGGTGGCTGGCATCAACTTGACAATACTGCTAATTTTTTCCTCTTAAAATTGACCAGGTTGGATGCTGTTTCATCCCTTTTTTCTTTATGTGATAAGCTTGGTGGTGTATGTTGTTTTGCACTAATGATGATATTGTGATTCATTAACATGCAGGGACAGCTATCAAGTTCTGATTTGCTGAGGGACATACTTGATGATATTGCTGGGAGCCTGCTTCAGAAATCTGTGGAAGATAATATTTTCCTTTTACAGCCTTGCTGTGATAACGTTTTACATTTTTGAACCTTATACAGGAGCTGCTTGTCAGTCAAATGGGAATTGGGCTATTGGTATGCTTCTAAACATACTTGTATTGATTGAACAGAAAATACATGTTAATACATACATGAGCTATATCTTCTTTTTCTCTCTCGAAAGGACCATACATAAGCAATATCTGTTCCTTTCTTCTGCAGTTTCTATCTCCCAGTATTTCGGAGGAATCTTCACATGATAACATATGGAAAGAAGATATTAAGTCAACAGTAAATGATATTTTAAATACCGAGAGCAATGGTCACTGTACAAGGTACTAGTTCAAATCTGCATTCCCCATTTCTAAATATGTGTCCAAACATTTTGTAATAGCTACATTTGAAATGGATCCTAAGGGTCATTAGTGCTGGAGCTGATGCATGTGCTTTCTCTGGTCAAAACACCACTGCACAACGAACTATGTAGTCTACTAGTTTTTACAAATCTTTTGCCAGATAATAGTAGCGGCTGCAGTGTTTTATGGTACAAAGCTTCAGGTCACCGCCTTGTTCATTTGGATAGCAGTACAAATGATACATGGGTACTAGGTACCCTTTCAGTTGTCTTTCTGATCACAATCCATGAAAGGTGGTGCCAACTGATTTCAGATGAGACCTTCCAACAACAATCATGGCCATTAGTCACAACTCGCAACATGAAACACTAGGGCTTGTTTGGATGCCCATGTATCGACCTCAATCCATGTGGGTTGCAGTGGTTTGGTTAAATTCCACACCAAACCACTCCAACACCCATGTATTGAGGTGGATACATGGGCATCCAAACAAGGCCCGATTGATGCATCTCAAAGATAGGGTTTCAACAGCGCTGTCATTCTAGGAGGTTGGACCTTATGGAGACAAAGAAACATGTGCGTCTTTGAGGGAGCTCTTCCATCAGTCCAAAATGCAAGGTGCCTCTTCTTGAAGGATCTGAAACTTTGGGAATTTGCTGGAGCCCGTAAACTCCAGGACCTAGGCCTATGTCAGGTTGAGGGGTTAGTTTAAGTAGCCTTTCTCTGGTTGTGTCCTTTTTATTTATTGGTGATTGTATATTTTTTTTCTAAACCTCAGCTGCAGTCCCTTTGTTCTCCTAAAGTGAGACGAAGTGGGTTTTCGTTTTCTCTCTCTCTAAATTAATACAAAGATATGCAGCTCTCCTTCTTGTTCAAGAAAAAAAGGAACACTAGGGTGGCAAATGAATGATTGTGTCCTTGCATTCACTAGCCTAGGTACTATATCATTTGTTCATTGTTGCCCTTGTAAGATGTACATTTTTTTTCCCTCATAACGGAGTGCTCCCTCTGATTCCAAATGCTGGTCGTTTTATACTTGTGCATAAGGATTAAGGAAGTAGAGCAAATGATCTTAGTGCCCTTCAACTAAAACGTACTGCATTAACTTAAACACATATGGTATTGGTAGTTGAACATTCAACATTGATACTCAAAATGAAGCTAACAATTTAACCAGTGTGTTAAAGTTCAGTGAGTGCAAATTTGTTTTCCAGGATCTAAGGTGACCTAATATTGTCATATGAACATACAAATTTTGTGAAGTTTGTACCCTTCCATTTGAATTTAGTTTTGTGAAGTTTGCAAACTAGAAGTAGTTGGGCACTGGCATTGTCGTTAATTTCTGTGTTAATTCCCAGTTTGCTTTGGACTGCTTGCAGATTTTCTGATGTAAATAAAATCAGTGATGATTGGTGGAACTTCTTTGACAAGGTGTGGAGTATTATACGTAATTTGAATGGAAAAGGACCAAGCAAAATTGTACCAAAGGATCCAAATGTTGAGGTTGCATCTTTGGGGCAAAGGGCACGTGGACTGGTGGAGTCTATGAATGTCCCTGCTGCAGAAATGGCTGCTGTTGTATCTGGTGGTGGAGGTATTGGTACTGCATTAGGTATAAAAATGAACAGATTTGCTGAGAAAACTACAACGTCAAGGGAAGAGATAATTCCAAGAATTTTCTTCCACCTTGTGATTCTGTACCTCTGCAAAGCTGGATTAGAGAATGCATCCAAGTGTGTTCTACAGTTCATGTCGTTGCTTCCGATTCTTCTTATTTCAGATGATGACCAAAGCAAAAATAAGTTGCACTTTTTGATATGGTATGTTTGATACTCTGAGCTTCCCTCTGAATGTGTATGAAACATTCTCCTTATACTTTCTTTTATACAGGTCTTTATTAACTGTAAGATCTCAGTATGGGCAGCTTGACGATGGCGCTCGTTTCCATGTTTTTTCGCACTTGATTCTTGAAACTATCATATATGGAAAGTCCATGTTGGTCACTAATATCTTAGGAAGAGATGACTCCGTGGACACCAACAACAACAAGGAGACTGGCTTCATCCTTAGCTTTATACAGAAGGATCGTGTTCTTGCCGCGGTTTGTTTCTTTGCCCTTTTTTTATCTTTGTCTGGAATTGTTTTGTTGGCATGTACAAAATGAGAAGTTCATCACTTTAGGAGGGTGTGTTTCAAGTTTTGTGCATTTGATCAATTCTGCTGCTTGTTCAATCCCGCACCCACTCCAACCGATGATCAGCTTTATTGGTTTACAGGCTGCTAATGAGGTTAAGCACATGAAGGCTGTTCAGGCTGATCGCTTAAAGCAGCTGCAGGAACTTCGCTTGAAGCTTAACGAGTGTTCTGCAACGGAGATACAGCTAGTGCAGGCCATTGAAGATGAGATACATTTTACTATCACTGCTGCCCTTTCAGCAGATGACAGTAGAAAAACAGCTTCTCAACTTTCTTTTCGTGAGGATCAGCAAATTATCAGGGTAACTGAGTCTTTCTTATATTCAACCAACGCATATGCTTGTTAAGGAGAAAATTTGTCATGCAGTAACTATTTGCTTTCTGTATCAGGATAAGTGGATACATATTTCCCGTGCTCTGATGGATGAGAGAGGACCATGGTCTGCTAACCCTTTTCCAAATGATGTTGTGACTCACTGGAAACTTGACAAGACAGAGGATAGATGGCGGCGGCGGTTCAAGCTCAAACGTAATTACAAATTTGATGAACGCTTATGTCAACCTTCACAGTCAAGGAATGAAATTACAACGTCGTCAGCTGACCAACCGTACATCAGTGCCAAAATTCCTGAGAAAATGAAGCGATTCCTTCTTAAAGGAGTGCGGGGAATCACAGAGGACAGTAGTTATGAACCATTTGAAGACACTAACGATGCGAGTGAATCTTCCCAGAGTAATCCTTTAGAGAGCCAAAACCTGAATAATGCTGCAGATACCTCTGATTATCATGCTGCTGTACATTATAAAAAAGAGCCATCATCTACTAATGGAGATAATGATTATACAAAGGTAAAGAAAAAGTTTTAGTATAAATTTCAGCTGAAAGCAGAAAACAATTGTTGATTTCTTTCTGTTCATTGCCCATTTTGCAGGTGCTATGTTCAGTTCGTTGTGTTCTTGTAAACCCAAAGCGAAAATTAGCAGGACAATTGGATATCACACGAACTGTCATGCATTTTTCTTTTGAATTTTTGGTCGAAGGAACTGGAGGATCATCTGTTTTCAGCAAGTTTAAAGACAAAAAAGATTCAGACTGCAAGAATGAGCTGGGAGGTGTGGACAGACTTGATGGATGCCGAGACAGTATGATTAAAACCAATGGTGTTTTGATGCAAAACCAGTCTAACAAAATCAAACGTCACAGAAGGTGGAACATAACCAAGGTATCTCTCTCTCCTAGACTCCTAGTCTTTCCTCTCACTTGCTCACTCTCTTAATCTCCTTGCATACATGCTTACAGATAAAAGGAGTTCATTGGACACGCTACCTACTGCAATATACTGCAATGGAGATCTTCTTTGATGATTCAAGTGCACCTATATTTTTAAACTTTTCCTCCCAAAAGGATACTAAAAATGCTGGGTCTCTGTTAGTTTCTCTTAGGAATGAAGCTTTGTTCCCTAAAGGAAGTACCAAAGACAAAAATAATATCATTTCATTCGTCGACAGGCGAGTTGCACTTGAAATGGCTGAGAATGCCAGGGAAAGATGGAAAAGGAGGGAAATCAGTAACTTTGAGTATCTTGTGATTTTAAACACCCTTGCTGGAAGATCGTACAATGACTTAACTCAGTATCCTATATTTCCATGGGTATTGGCTGATTACACCTCAGAAAAGCTTGATTTCAACAAGTCATCGACTTTTAGGGATCTTTCAAAACCAGTTGGTGCGTTGGATGAAAACCGCTTCAAGGTGAGGTTACTATTGCATACTTATTTGTATTTGTAGGCTATCATCACCTTATCATAACTTCATGTCAGTAATGCATTATTGGGCAGGTTTTTGAAGATAGATATCTTAGTTTCTGTGACCCTGATATACCAAGGTTGAACCTTAATTCATCTGTTAGTGTTTTCCCTTTTTTGAGTTTACTCTTTTTGCAATAACGACGATGGTTGTTTCCTGCAGTTTTTATTACGGATCTCACTACTCTAGCATGGGAATCGTTCTTCATTACATGCTTAGGCTCGAGCCATTTACAGCTCTGCATCTAAACTTTCAGGTTGTCACTTTGCTCATCATGGAAATATTTATCATGCTTAAAATTCGAACACATACCTCTTATTTTCAAAACATTATTCACAAATTTGTGAATCGATAATTTCTTTTGTCGTATTTCACCACAGTTTGAAAGAAGCAATCTTGTCATATTGTTTTACATTATGCCATAATTTCTCCTGTCGTATTTCACCACAGTTCAAAAGAAGCGATCTTGTCATATTGTTTACATTTATGCCTGTCTGACACTTGTGCAGGGTGGCAAGTTTGACCATGCAGACCGTTTGTTCCAGAGCATTGAGAGCGCTTACATAAATAGCTTATCAAGTACAAGTGATGTCAAAGAGCTTATTCCAGAATTCTTTTACATGCCCGAGTTTCTTGAAAATTCAAATTCATATCATCTTGGTGTTAAGCAGGATGGGGAACCTATAGGCGATGTTGCTCTCCCTCCATGGGCAAAGGTAATAGTTCCTCTTGAAGTTAGTTATATTTGTCATAATTCCTTGAGGATGAATTATTTGTCCACCAAGATAGTTCTGTTGCTTTTCTAATGACAGTTAGTTCAGCTTTGCAACTGTTAGTAAAAAACTGTACTGTTCTCAATACACAGGATATATCTAGCTTTCTCAATATAAAATAGATTTTCTCATGAAAGACATCCCAGGCTAATTTACTTCACATAATGTTTTCTTTATATTCTGACTTTGACCATCTTCAGTTCGCAAATTCAACCCTAATAAGTTTAGCATTGCAAAGAACAACTTCTGTATACTGTTATGTTAGCCCAGCTTCATAGCATTCATTGTCAATTTTGAAGGTGATGACATTATGTTTCCTGCATTTTGGAAAAAAAAATGTGAATGTTACAACATATCGCATTGCTTCATCATTCTACGAAATTCTTTTACATGCCCGAGTTTCGCATACATGTTACATTTCGTATCCCATCTAATATTTTACTTGTGTTATATGATTATTAACCCATACAAAATTGTAGGGTTCGCCTGAAGAATTCATCCACATCAACAGAGAAGCCCTTGAAAGTGAATATGTGAGCTCTAATCTCCATAACTGGATTGACCTCATATTTGGTTACAAGCAGCGTGGACAGCCAGCTGTTGAGGTGCAACTGTGTTGCTATTTCCAGCATCATTGAAACACTGTTAGTAGAATATTACCTAACTCATGCATATATTTTGGATAGGCAGCAAACATATTTTACTACGTGACATATGAAGGTGCAGTTGATCTGGAAAATATGGATGACATGTTACATAAATCTGCTATTGAGGATCAGATAGCGAATTTTGGACAGACACCAATCCAGATTTTCCGGATGAAACATCCAAGAAGAGGACCTCCCATCCCAATTGCTCATCCACTGTATTTTGCACCACAGTCGATAACATTAACTTCAAGTGTTTGTAGTACAGTCAGCCACATGTGTGCTATCCTATTCATTGGTTTGTTGGAGAACACTGTTGTATTGATGAATGAGGGACTCATATTGTCAGTAAAGCTGTGGTTAACAACACAGCTGCAGTCAGGTGGAAATTTCACATATTCTGGACCACAGGTTCTTCTTGACTAAAGGCTAAATGTTAAAGACATTGGTATCCCAGTAAATTTGTGTTTATTACATTTGCTCTTTTTTTTGTAGGAACATTTATTTGAAATTGGTTCAGATGTTATCTCTCCTCGTAAAATTGGCACTTTCCTTGCCGAAAACGTTAAGTTTGGAAGACAATGCTTAGCAACAATGCAAAATAGTTGTGATAATTATTTGATTTTATGTGGAAATTGGGAGAACAGTTTCCAAATAATTTCTCTTAGTGATGGAAGAATTATGCAGAGCATCAGGCAACATAAGGATGTTGTTAGCTGTGTTGCAGGTATCTAAGACATTTAATGAGTTTATGCTTATCCATTTTCTTTAAACTTTCCTGAATTAAGCTACTAGATTTTGGCTGTAAGCAAAAATAACTGTATTCAAATAAAGAGATTCCAATAAAGATACAGATCCCTTTTTCCGGCTTAAGCCCCTTGAAAAGGACAGTAGGGAGTTGATGTCTCCTTATTGTGGTTTTGGCATGTAGTAACATAAGAGAACTTCTAATACTGAATATAGTCTGTTGGCCACTGCATATAACATGATGCAGCCAGACCATTTGTATGTTTTCAGTTCGGTGATGATATCTAATTAGATATTTTCTGAGTAAGGCAGCTCAGCTAGGCTGCCTTTTTTCTGTCTTCATTATGTTTCCTGCATTTTGAAAAAAAAAAAAACTGTGAATGGCACCATATCACATTGCTTCATCATTCTATGAAATTATCTGCTGTATTTTCCTTTTTTTGTCGATATAAATAAGGCAAAACAAACTTTTATGCTGCAGTTTCGTCTGACGGAAACATGGTTGCAACTGGTAGTTATGACACAACTGTTATGATCTGGCATGCATTTCGAGGAAGACCAATTGATAAGAAAATGAGGGGTGCCAATTTTGAACTTTCAGAAAAGGAACATGTTATAGTGGAAAGGCCTGTTCATATCTTATGTGGTCATGATGACATCATAACATGCTTATTTGTTAGCGCTGAACTTGACATTGTAATCAGTGGTTCAAAAGATGGGACTTGTATTTTTCATACACTGCGTGAAGGGAGATATGTTCGGTCCATCCAGCATCCTTCTGGTGTTGGTTTATCAAAACTGGTAGCATCACAGCATGGGAGGGTGGTATTATATTCTGAGAATGACCTCTCCTTGCACATGTACTCCATCAATGGACGACATATTGCTTCTTCAGCAACCCTTGGACGTCTCAATTGCATAGAACTTAGTTGTTGTGGTGATTTCATTGTTTGTGCTGGTGAGCTTGGACAGATAGTCTTACGCTCAATGCATTCTCTTGGTATTGTTTGGAGGTATGATGGAACTGGGAAGACAATTACTTCCCTAGCTGTGACTCCTGAGGAGTGCATCCTAGCAGGAACCAAGAATGGTAGACTGCTGGTATTTTCAATAGAAACTCCTCTCCTTCGCAGGGGGAGCATGCAACGAAATAGAATAAAGCCCTCCACAACTGGTTAAGTCATTGGCTGCAACATATCCACCGAATGTAAAAAATGACCGCTTCATGCTGTAGGCATAAGGTGTGTCAAGTTTTAAACTTAGTTGCTTTTCTTATTGTTTTGAACAGCAGGGCCTTTTTTGATGCTATAAATTCCGTACACCATAATTATGTTTTTTTTATTTACCTTATGTTTTAGTGTCCTGTAGAACTAGTCCTTTAGAACTAGTCCTGTGGTCATCTCATGCACCTGCATGATGAACTGCATGCACTCACTGTTAACTGTTTATAATGTAGACCAAGGCAAATATTTAGATATCTTTGCCTGTTTTATCAGGAATTATTAAGATTGTAGTAACCAAATGTTGCCTCCTTTGTCTGTCCTATGATTTCTACAAGAATGTTTTTTAATCCTGTAGGATGTTCCCCCACTAGATTGAGAAAGCCAGATGGTCTTACAGAGTAGAGGCGGGAAAGGGACACATTATGACTTGGGACGTGAACTTACAAGTTAAGCATGAGCATGCCGAATTATATGAGCTAGCTATACTCTTATGCGAAACATTGAACAAGAAAAGCAACTAGAAAGCATTTAGTTAGAGTTAGTGATGTTTTAATATTTACGTAGTGTACTAGATCTATGTTATGTTTGGTAATTCAGAAAGGTATTTGACCTATCAGATCCAAAACTGTCATGTCAGGTTTGGTTCTAGACTCTGTAAAACATTTTTTCGTCCTGGTCACTAGTAATCTGCCAAGTTCATTTTTATTGACTTGGATAATTTAGCTCAAGCAAACTGCTGTTACCTTTTCTGTTGTTTGCTGAAAGTACTAAGTGCTTAATTTCCTTGAAACTCTGTGCAGGTCATTACCAGCTTATAGAACTGTTCTCACGACCATGTAGTCTGCACATAATGAAGCACGCTTTTGTCATTTGTGAACACTACCTAAATTAAAGATGGCATTCAGGAATGAGGATTGTCAAGATATTGAGCTGGTGATGGTCCTTGAGTACTCAATCTGACAATATATCGAACTAATGCCGGGAACACTGGTTAGCCCTAGGTCCATAGTTGATTTAAGGCTAAGGGTAGACGCAAAGAATCTTCGCTTGGGTGGCACTGACATCTATCACAATTTTATTGTAGCATTTCACTTCGTTGGTGGAGGGGTTAGGTTCCGTGCGACAGTTTGTCTGTGTAGTATATATATGTATTATATTACTCTGTTCCTACTCTGCCTTCTGCTATGCTTCAGCAGGAGAGAGCACCCATCGTATTCGCTTGCAGATGGAAAACAGGCGTCGCCTGACGCCTGGTGCCAGATTTTGGCACGAACCAGCTAGTTCCGATTCTGTTCCGGAGCGCATGGCCACCATCCATTTCCATGCCTCTTTGGGCAGGGATAAAAGTAACGAGCCTTTTACATGTGCCATTATAAAAGATGGTACGTGCTACTAAAAAGTTCGAACGCACCTATGTGTCATGGCACTTTATTTTGTTTTGTCTCCCAAGTCATTCCGTCCACTTTTTCATCTAATGGTGTCAATATGCGCTGCAAAAAGTCTCAAATGCCCTTACCTCGCTTCTTCACCGTGCGCTTCTTTGTACCTTCGCTGGGCGTCTTCCTCCCGTCCTCCACCATGCGCCGGGGCAAGGGCGGAGCCAGCCGCACGTGGGCATGGGGCGGGGGTGGAGCCGGCCGCCGGGCCCGGGGGCCGGCCATGGCTGCCGCCGTTTCCAACGACGCCGCCAATAAACTCACCGTCGTCGTCCTCGGCCCGGGCACCACCGCCACCAAGCCTCCGCCACCGTCGGCGTGTCACGTCCAGTGGCTGCGCGCCATGGTGCTAGGCGCGAGCGACGGTCTAGTCTCCACGGCGGCGCTCATGCCGGGCGTGGGCGCCACGCGTCCGGGCGACGCCGACGCCAACGACCTGCGCGGCGGCGGTGGCGTCCTCCTCGTGGGGCTCGTCGTGGGGGCCTGCAGCATGGCCATCGGCGAGTACGTGTCCGTGCACGCGCAGCTGGACGTCGAGCTGGCCGAGCTCAAGTGCGCGGCCAAGTAGGAGGACGAGGAGTCGGCAGCGGGTGACGGAGACGGAGATGACGGAGCACCACCGGACCGGGCCGCAACCGTGGGCCTCCTCTCGAGCCCGGGCCAGGCGACGGCGGCCTCCACGCTGTCATTCGCGACCAGGGCGGCCGTGCCGCTGCTCGCGGCGTGGTTCGTCACGAGATACAGGGCGCGAGTGGCGGTGGTCGTGGCTCATGCGGCTCTCTGCTGCAGCTTACCACCGTCTTCCTCGTGCGGCTGCCGGAGCTCTGCTCGAGCATGGCCAGGTGGGCGAACTCCCCTGACCGGCACGTGGGCGAGCTCCCGATCCTGGTCTCCGCCGGCCCTCCTCCGCCCCGCCCCGGCTGGATCTGGAGGTCTGCCACCGCCGGCGGCCACCATCCACCCTGCGACGACGCCCTCCCCGGCTCCGGGATGCCTGCGGGCGGCCCTGTTCCACGGCACACAGCCTGCTCGTCGGCGCGCGCCCTAGCCCCACGCGCCTCTCTGTCTAGCCAGCCACCGCCGCCAGCCGTCCTCCACCCCGCGACGACGCCCTCCCCGGCTCCAGGATGACTGCGGGCGGCCCTGTTCCACAGCGCGGTTCCCCTGGCGCATGGACTGCTCTCCGGCGCGCGTCTCTCTGGCCAGCCAGCCACCACCGCCGTGTGGGCGAGATCCCCTGACCACCCCCGGCCCCCTCGTGCTCTTCTTGAGGCAGAAGAAGGTGTCGTGTCACTGACAGTTTAGCCCCCACGAGACAGATAGAAAAAAGGGAGAGGACAGAGTTACGAAAGAAGGGTATTTTAGACATCATCATAGGTCGGGCCCACATGTCAGGGCTGACAAACGGTAGAAATCAAACAGAAGGCGGACGGAATGGTTTGAGAGGCAAAAAAAAAGTAAAGTGTCATGGCACATAGGTGTGTTTGAACTTTTTAGTGGCCTATAGGTCTGGAGCATCTTTCGTAATAACCACGGGTAAAAAGCTCAAAAGTAATATGCTTCGAACGGAACCCGCCTTATTTGGACAACTACGGAGTCGGGGCCCGGGGCGCCTGGCCACATGGGTTCGTGCACGTAGACTTTGTTAGGGCAGCTCCAATCAGTGGCGGATGCAGAACAGGATTGAAGGGGAGCTGATCTCTTATTCTTCCTCTCTCTTCATTTTTCTTCTTTCCTTCACCTCTTCTTCTCCCCCACCCTCCTCATATTTCCATTGATGCACCAGTCGTACGGGGCTAGAGCCCCCAGCCCCCCTGTAGATCCGCCCCTGGCTCCAATGTAGTGCTAATTTAGAACCGTGTGACGAGAGAAAAGGTAGTAGAAGTCGATAAGGCAGTAGAAGTCAATTTCACGATGGAGCAACCGAACCATGGCAAAAGATTTTACGGTTCGATGCTCAAACACGATTCGAACACAGAGGAAAAAAAATACACTAGCAGCTGAGATGTGACCCATTGACAAGAGGGGAAGGGAGTTAAAGTTTAAGAGAGAAATTTACCTACCAATGTCCACGCCAGAAGAAACGAACCGTTCTCATAATGGTTTTTAGCAGGCCCACCAAGTCAGGTCTGGACTCTAGTGTGTCATGGAATCGAATGCAATCCTAGACTCTAGTGTGTCCCTCGCAAAAACAAAAACAAAAAGACTCTAGTGTGCCATGCAATCGAATCGTGGGAGTGAAAAAGCGAAGCATGTAGCGATCAAATCGTATGTTTTAGACTCAAAATCACATGTTGCGACGTGTCGAACTATGGTGACTAAATTTAGCTACTGCACCATATGGATGTATCCAACCAGAAACGGTAGGCCCCATGCACGGAACACCACACAATGAGCACATCTTCTCACACCATAGTGAATTTGTAGTTCAAATATAGCAACATATTGTTGTCCAAGTGCAGAATCGCCGCCGCCTAGGGTAGAGCCCCCGCCACATGCCTGCTCCTCGCTCCGCAGTCGTGTCTAGAGCTCCTGTCCTCTCTTTTTTCTTTCCAGTGCGTCTGCCGGAGACAAGAAGAGGAGGGGATCTATCATTTTTTCGTAAATTCCTAGTGTCTTATGGTTGAGTCCAAATAAATGACTGATGAAATTAGATGTTTTTTTTTGTTAGGATCGTGTGTCCTACGATGACTTTGGCGATTGTCACGACGAGATCGTCGTTGCAGGCGTCGATTTCATCGGATAGGCGGCCAATTTGTGGCATTTATCTGTAAGGGGAGGGGTGCTTCTAGACTTATGAGGACAGTGACTCCGGGTCATCGATCTCATCATCAATGATCGTGGAGAGAAAATTAAGATCTCGAGGTGATGAATCTGCATCCTATGTCGTACCCGACGATACAACTGCCGATATTCTTTCATCGATTTAGATGCGTTTTGGACGGTTTTCGAAGCGTTAGGTCCAATGTTTTGATGTTGGTCGTTGAATTCGGCGTAAGGACTGCACTTTGGCTTCGACGTTCGAGGGAAGCCATTGAGGAAGAAGACGATGGAAAAATCTAGATAGAATATTATGTATTTTTTATTTCAATTTTTTTTTTCATGTGTAATTTGGAGATATATTGTGCCAAAATTTAATATAAGTTCCCCTTCCCTTTGAAAAAAAGAAGTGAAACTAGCACTATCAGTACCGGTTCATTAAAAAAACCACAACACAGACTGAGAGCCACACCTCAACAACAACAACATAGTCTTTCAGTCCCAAGCAAGTTGAGGTAACCTAGAATTGAAACCCACCAAGAGCCATAAGTCACGGTTCAGGCACTTCAATAGCTGCTTTTCCAAGCACTCCTATTGAAACATATATTTCTAAGTATATCTCAAACTTTTAAATCTCTTTTTATTGTCTCTTTCATATCAATTTCGGTCTTCCTCTACCTCTCCTCATATTATTAGCTTAGCTTAGGACTCTACAATGCACTGGTGCCTCTAGAAGTCTTCTTTGGACATAACCAAACCACCTCAACCGATGTTGTACAAGCTTTTCTTCAATTGGTGCTATCCCTAAGCGATCACGTATATCATAGTTCTGAACCCGATCTATTCTTGTGTGACCATAAATTCATCGTAACATAGGTATTTCTGCAACACTCAGTTGTTGAACATATCGAATCTTTGTAGGGCAACATTATGCTCCATACAACATAGCCGGTCTAATCGTTGTTCTATAAAACTTGCCTTTTAACTTTTGTGGTACCCTCTTGTCATAGAGAATGCCAAAAGCTTGTCGCCACTTGATCCATCCTACTTTTATTCTATGGCTAACGTCCGTATCAATATCTCCATCCCTCTGTAGAGAATGCCAAAAGCTTGTCGCCACTTGATCCATCCTACTTTTATTCTATGGCTAACGTCCGTATCAATATCTCCATCCCTCTGTAGCATCGATCTCAAATACCGAAAGATATCCTTCTTAGGCACTACTTGACCTTCCAAACTCACATCTCCCTCCTCCTGTGCAGCTCCGTCAAAGTCGCATCTCATGTATTCGGTTTTAGTTCTGCTCAATCCTAAACCTTTAGACTCAAGGGTCTGCCGCCATAACTCTAGTTTCCTATTTACTCCCACCTGGCTTTCGTCCACTAACACTACATCATCAGCGAATAACATACACCAAGGGATATCTCCTTGTATGTTCCTGGTAACCTCATCCATTACCAAGCCAAAGAGATACGAGCTTAATGCTGACCCCTGATGAAGTCTAATTTTAATCAGAAAGTAATTTGTGTTACCATCGTTTGTTCGAACACTAGTCACAACATTGTTGTACATATCCTTGATGAGAGTCACGTATTTTAATGGGACGTTATGTTTGTTCAAAGCCCACCACGTAATATTTCTTGGTATCTTGTCATAAGCCTTCTTCAAGTTAATAAAAACCATATGGAAGTCCTTCTGCTCTCTAAACCGCTCCATAACTTGTCTTATTAAGAAGATTGCTTCTGTGGTTGATCTTTCGGGCATGAAACCAAATTGGTTTGTTGATATCTGCGTCGTTCCTCGCAGGCGCTGCTCGATGACTCTCTCTCATAACTTCATAGTGTGGCTCATAATTCTTCGATAATTAGTATAACTTTGGATATCTCCCTTGTTCTTGTAGATTGATACCAATATGCTTCTTCTCCACTTCTAAGACATCTTGTTCGATCGAAAGATATTGTTGAATATCTTGGTTAGCCATACTATAACTATATCTCCGAGACATCTCCACAGCTTGATTGGGATACCATCAGGGGCCATCGCTTTGCTCTCTTTCGTCCTTTTCAAGGCTTCTCTGATCTCCGATTCTTGAATCCTCTGCACAAAGCGCCTGTTAGTGTCGTCAAACGAGTCGTCCAGCTGAACAGTGGTGTTATCGTTCTCACCATTGAATAATTTATCAAAAATACTCTTTTCATCTATGTCTGATCTCATCCTCCTTCACCAAGAGCTGCTTCCTCTCATCCTTTTTGCACTTGACTTGGTTGAAGTCCCTTATCTTCCTATCGCGAGCCCTAGCCATCCTATAAATGCCCTTCTCTCGTTCCTTCGTACTCAAACGTTGGTAAAGTTTCTCATAGGCCCGTCCCTTTGCCTCACTCACCGCTCGTTTTACAGTCTTCTTTGTCACCTTATACTTCTCTATGTTGTCTGCACACATGTCACGATACAAGCGCTTATAGCACTCCTTCTTTTCCTTAATAGCCTTTTGCACATCTTTATTCCACCACCAAGTGTCTTTTGAGTCGCATCCACTCCCTTGGTCACTCCAAGCACATCTGAAGCAACCTTCCGAATGCATGTTGCCATCTTCTCCCACATGCTGTTTGCATCGCCTTCATCCTTCCAAAGACCCTCTTCAATGACCTTTTCCTAGACCTTTGATGCATCACCTTCTAATTTCCACCACTTCGTTTTGGCAACTCTAGCTTATTTGTTTCCACGAGCTTGCACCAGAAAGTGAAAGTCACCCACCACCAACTTATGTTGAGCGACCATGTATTCTCCAAGTATCACCTTACAGTCCACACATGTTAATTTATCCCTCCTTCTTGTAAGGACAAAGCTAGTCGATTTGTAATCTTTTTCCCCACGTGTTCCCCGTGTCGTTCTTACCGATTTGGCCGACCCGGCCACACTGTTTTTCCGTGTTTCGCGTAGAAGTACAGAACTACTAGCTACTTACCAGTTGTAGCATGCATGCATGTGGGCCCGGCCGCAGCTGACATTCTGTCAGCGACGGTAACGGGCAAGTGTTTTTGTTGTAAGCCGCTGCCGTTGCATAGACGAAACGATCGAGAGCACGCCTAACATAGGATGTACGCACACACCACAAAACGAAGCCATGCGCGCGCGCACGTGTGCCAGCAAAACACACGTGCGCCGCCCCAACACAAGAAGCAGCAGGTGACGACGGGTTTAAAAGCACGCCGCTCCGGCCATCTCTTCATCTCCCATCGCCTCCGTCCCGTGCTCAGTTCGCATTCCTTGCTTTGTTCCCTCTCTCCTCTCTCCCAGATTCGTTCTAATCGTGTCCAGCAGGGAGAAGGAGAGGGCCAGCTGAGAGCTAGCTACAGAGATCGATCAACTGATCCATGGAGACCAACCAATCGGCCATGACGACGAAGCCGAGCATGCAGAGCGGGGCTGCGGTGGCGGAGAAGGCGGCTGCGGCGGGCCGCGGCGTCAAGGCCACCGAGGAGCAGGCGAGGGCGATCATCTGCACTGCCAAGAGGGCGGTGGAGGAGGCGGCAGCCAACAAGGCCAAGACGATAGGCCGGGACGGCGCCGGGAAACCGCCGCCGTCGTCGTCGCTGAAGAGGTCGCTCGAGTGCTTCCTGGAAGGGCGAAAGAACAAGGCGCCGTCGTCTTCCGCATCTCGTCGCCACCTCGAGACCTCCACCGCATCTTCATCTTCGTCGTCTAACTAACAGATGGCCGGCGGCCGGCCGGCTCGACCGGGAGCAGTCATCAAGACATCAAGTCGCTTCTCCATGATCGATCGTCGTCAGTTTTTGTTTCATGTCTTTCTGTAAACAGATGCATGTGCATGCATCATGCTGGGTACGGTGCAAATGCACGCATCAACGATTGAATGACATGTCGCAGCCTGAATTTCGCCGAAATTAAATCACCCTAGAGTTATTATGATCGACGCGATATGACATTTTCTTGGATGTTCGACCTATCTTCTGCTCGTTCATGGCTCTGCATGCCTTTGTTCATGTAGAAAACACACCGGCGCTCTCTATGTCTATCGATCTCGTTGAAGAAGAGTAGGTGAGATCATATCTTTTTAGACCATCTCTAGTGAGTCATGGGATGAGCTTGGTAGCCCATGAGTCAACATATGCCTACCAGAGAGGACAAAAAACTCACTCTAGAGTACAATCAATGTTGTATGTAAGCAAAAAAATAATATATGTACAATGAACCAACCACTCGTTGTCTCCTTGACCGTTGGCAACTAGCCGTTGTTTTAGGCTGCCTATATATTTAGTTTTTTTTTACTTCAAAAAATCTAACACATGTACCTACCCTACTTCTAGAAACAAACCGATACATCTTACAAAATAACAAGCAACAGATACGACAAGTGTTCATATCTCATATCTATTTTACAAAACATAAGCATGGGCTCACATTCATCTACTAGTTTCACAAGCCATTTGAACTCTTCAACCTCAAGCGCATAACTAAACAGCCCACAAAGTGCAAGCAACTAGTAGTACCAACATTCCCATCCACTTTAGCTTCTGAGATGACGAGATTGAGATGTGCCTTTGTCAAGAGATGAGTGATAATTTGTCAAGGTGAATTGAGAAGCTTACAATTGAGTTAGTTTGGGTGTGTTAGGTTGTTTATGAAGATGTGCTCCCAAAAGAACACCAGATGGAGCATATTTGAATATAGCCCTTTACACCATTGTTTATGATTTTGGTCATCGAGGCCCCTCTTGGAACGTAGGAATTTCACATAAATTATATACAAATTTCACAGGAATAATTTATTTTTATAGGAAAAACGCAGAAACATAAAAAAAATCACATTCCAAGACGGCATGAATGGTAATATATACGGAGTATAGTCATTGAGACTAACATGCCACACATTTGCCATCCATTTATGAAAATTGTTATGGAAAATATATACTAGTCTACTAAAAATGTGGCAAGCTATAGATGCATTAGAGAATTGTGAACCATGGAAAGGTGAAGGTGCATCATCAAAATATCTTATTTATAAAATTTATTTCAGTTATTAAAACATGTGACAATAAAGGCCATGGGATATGCAAGCGGGCTGACCCAGAAACCCATATGATAGAATCGAAAACACTGGGTTTCTGGGAGATTGAAACCTAAATCCTCTTTCTAAAACAAATTAAAAGAGCTACATTAATTAAACGGCATTGAAATGATATCTCGCACGATCTTAAGCCCCCTTTAGAATGTTTTTTAATCCCTTTTAGTACAACACAGTACTACACATCTTTGCTAGAACGAACTGAGCTGTGGTCGTCCAAACACGCACGCTGCTCCTCTTAAATCTCTGTCAGTTTCAGCACGTGCTCCTCATGTGTTCTAACCTGCAGATTTGGCCGACCCGGCCACACTGTTTCCCATAGAGGAGATATTGCATGTACTTACCGGTTGTAGCATGTGGCGGCCCCGGAGATGACAGCGACACGGGAGTTTCCCAAACTGGCAAGTACGTGTGCTGGTAACCCATTGCACAACCGAAACGATCCGAGCACGCCTTAACATTAACAACATAGGACGCACACGCCGCAAAACGAAGCCATGCGCGCGTGCGGCAGCCGCAAAACGCACACGTGCGGGCGTGCGGCCCCCAACCGTACCCAAGAAGCAGGTGGAGACGGCGGCTTTAAAAGCACGCCGGCGATCTCTTCATCTCCCATCGCCTCCCGTGCTCCTTGTTCTCTCTCTTCTCTCCCAGATTCTAATCGTTTCCAGGGAGAAGAAGAGAGACTAGCTAGCAGAGCTGCAGAGACCAACTAATCGGCCATGACGTCGAAGCCGAGCATGCAGAGCGGGGCTGCGGTGGCGGAGAAGGCGGCGGCGGTGGGCCGAGGCGTCGAGGCCACCGAGGAGCAGGCGAGGGCGATCATCTGCACGGCCAAGAGGGCGGTGGAGGAGGAGGCCAAGACCAAGACGAGAGCGGACGGCGCCAGCCCCGCCGCCGGGAAAAAACCGTCGTCGTTGCTGAAGAGGTCGCTCGAGTGCTTCCTGGAAGGCCGGAAGAACAAGGCGACGTCGTCTGCCGTAACTCGTCGTCGCCACCTCGAGACCTCCGCCGTGTCTTCGTCGTCGTCATCGTCTAACTAACAGATGGCCGGGCGGCGGGCTCTGCCGGGAGCAGTCAATGCAAAGTCGTCGACGTCGCTTCTCCATTGTCATCATCAGTTTTTGTTTCATGTCTTTCTGTAAACAGAAAAATCATGCTGGGCACGGTGCAATGCAACGACTGAATGACATGGCGCAGCCGGAATTGGCCGAAATTAAATCTCCCTAGAGTTAATATGATCGACGCGATATCACATTTTCTTGGATGTTCGACCTACCTTCTACTCGTTCATGGCTCTGCGTCTGCCTTTGTTCACGTAGAAACACATCAGCTCGATAACGATCTCATTGAGGAAGAGTAGGTGCATGGGATCATATCTTTTTAGGCCTGACTCATGGGATGAGCTTGGTAGCCCATGAACCAGATGCATGCCTATGATGAGTCGACGTATGCCTACCAGAGAGGACAAAAAATACCACTCTAGAGTAATCAATATATAGTATGTAAAAATAATAATAAAATAATATATGTACGATGAACCAAACACGTGTCTCCTCGACCGTTGACAACTAGCCGTTGTTTTAGGTTACCTATATATTTATTTTTTTACTTTAAAAAATATCTACACATGTACCTACACTACTTCTAGAAACAAATCAATACAACTTATAAAATAACAAATAGATACGATAAGTGTTCAGATCTCATCTCTACTTTACGTACAAAACACAAGGCATGGGCCCAGTTAAACTCTTCAATCTCAAGCCCATAACTAAACGGCCCACAAAGTGCCTGAAAAAAACATTTCCATCCACTTTAGCTTCTGAGATGATGAGGTTGAGATATGCCTTTGTCTAGAGATGAGTGATTAATTGTCAAGGGAATTGAGAAGCTTACAATTGAGTTAGTTTGCGTGTGTTATTAGGTTGTTTACGAAGATGTGTTGTCAAGGTGAATTGAGAAGCTTACAATTGAGTTAGTTTGGGTGTGTTACGTTGTTTATGAAGATGTGCTCCCAAAAGGTTGTTTGAATATAGAAGAATTTTGTGAATTATATAAGAACTTCATGAGGAAGGTGAAAACCACAGGAACATAAAAAAATCCCGCATTCCAAAGACGCCGTGAATGGTAATATCACTAGTAGAAAACAGACCTTTCATCCGAGGCTAAAATGGGCTTTAGTCCCGGTATTTTTTGCGCCGGGACTAGAGAGATTTTAGGGTTGGTGTCTCAACCGGGTTGTTTATGAATGGCGAGGGCTCCCAAAAGAACACCAGTTGGAGCCACCAAGGGACTAAAATCATGTGTAGACCTTTAGTCCCGGTTGGTAACATAGCCTAACACATCTATGGGAATTTTAAAAGGAAGCATCCCAATTGTCGGATATGTTGTGTAGGAACTCGAGGCAATGCATGAGGTCTTGGGTTGAATCTCACGGGGACGGTGGGAGATATTATTTTTTTAAAGCTGGGAGGAACCCGGTTGGTGTTACGGGACTAAAAAAAATCCAGTTCGACCGGGACTAAAGGAGAAGATGCTTACTCCCGGGTGGGGAACCGGGACTAGAGGTGGTTCCCCACCGGGAGTAAAGCCCGTCTCTGTATTAGTGTATATATAGTCATTGAGACTAACATGCCACACATTTGTCATCCATTTTTTGAAAATTGTTATGGAAAATATATACTACTCCACTAAAAAGTGGAGAGCTATAGATGCATTAAAGGGTGAACGTCGGAAAGGTGAAAGTGCATCATCCAAATATCTTATATTTTTTACTAATTTTATTTCAGTTATTAAGGCATGGGATGGGATATGCAAGGCGGCTAACCCAGGAAGGCAGAAACCCATAGGATAGAAACTATTGGGTATTTGGGTTCTGGAAGACTGAAACCTATAAATCCTCTTCCTAAAACAAATTAAAAGAGCTAAATTAATTAAACGGCATTGAAATGATATCTCTCGCACGATCTGAAGTCTCTTTTAGAATGTTCTTTTTTTAAAATCCCTTTTAGTACAACACAATACTACCACACATCCTTGCTAGAACTGAGCTGTCATCGTCCAAACACACGCGCTAGCTAGCGAGACGCAAGCTCTAGCTCTAGGTCGATGCCATTGCCATCACTAGAACCTAATCCGACAGATCAACCAGCTAGTGTACAACACAGACTGAGAGCCGCACACACGCTCCTCCTAAATCTCTGTCAGTTTCAGCACGTGCTCCTCGTGTGTTCTAACCTGCAGATCTGGCCGACCCGGCCATACTGTTTCGATTTCGCATTGGTACTTAGGTCCAGTTTAGTTGCAAAAAATTTTGCAAAATTTTTCAAGATTTTCCGTCACATCGAATCTTTGGACGCATGCATGAAGCATTAAATATAAATAAAAAATAAAACTAATTATACAGTTTAGACGAAAATCCACGAGACGAATCTTTTAAGCCTAATTAGACTATGATTGGACACTAATTACTAAATAACAACGAAAACTGTTACAGTGCCATTTTGCCAAAATTTTTGGCATCTAAACAAGGCCTTATATTATTACTGTACCATTGTAGCATGTGGCGGCCCCGGAGGTGACAGGTGACAGCGACGGGACTTTCCCAAACTGGCAAGTACGTATGCTGGTAGTGGTAACCCATTGCACAACCGAAACGATCCGAGCCGAGCACGCTAGGACGCGCACGCACGTGTGGCAGCAAAACACACGTGCGGCACCCCAACCGTACCCAAGCAGCAGGTGGAGACGACCGACGGCGGGTTTAAAAGCACGCCGGCAATCTCTTCTCCCATCTCCTCTCTCGTGCTGCTTGTTCATTCCCTCTGTAGCCTCTCCCTCTCTTCTCTCTGAGATTCTAATCGTGTCCAGGGAGAGATAGAAGAGAGACTAGCTAGCAGAGTTCAACTCAACCAATCGGCCATGACGACGAAGCCGAGCATGCAGCGCGAGGCTGCCGCCGTGGCGGAGAAGGCGACGGCAGTGGCCCGTGGCGTCGAGGCCACGGAGGAGCAGGCGAGGGCGATCATCTGCACGGCCAAGAAGGCGGTGGAGGAGGCCAAGACCAAGACGACGAGAGCGGACGGCGCCGGCTCCGCCGCCGGGAAACCGTCGTCGTCGTCGCTGAAGAGGTCGCTAGAGTACGTGCTTCCTGCAAGGCCGGAAGAACAAGGCGACGTCGTCGTCTTCCGCGACTCGTCGCCACCTGGAGGCCTCCACCGCGTCTTCCTCGTCATCGTCTTCGTCTAACTGAAAGATGGTCGGCCGGCCGGCTCCGGGAGCAGTCAAGTAGCTTCTCGATTGTCATCAGCATTAATTGGTTTCTTGTATTTCTGCAAACAGATGCGTCATTCAGTTTTTGTTTGTTCGTATTCTGGGTACGTTGCAACGATTGAATGACACGTGCGGCCGGAATTGAACGAATTTACTCAAATCTCCATAGTGTTATCAGTTTATCACTTTTACATGGATGTTAGACCTATCTTCTACTCGTTCATGGCTCTGCCTTTGTTCACGTAGAAACACACATCAGCTAGGTATCGATCTCGTTGAAGAAGAGTAGTTGGGATCATATCTTATTAGGCCATCTATAGTGGCCTAGCTCATGGGATGCATGCCTATGACTCCATGCATACTCTTTAGAGAAGACAAAAAATCCACTCTAGAGTAGGACAATAAAAAAATAACATATGTACAATGAACCAAATTAACAATGACCATCCTCTTCTCGACCGTTGGCAACTAGCCGTTGTTTTAGGCTCTCTCTCTCTCTCTATATATATTTAATTTTTTCTACTTCAAAAAATCTACGTGTGTACCTACCCTACTTCTAGAAGCAAAGAAATAATACAACCTATAAAAAACAAACAGATACAACAAGTGCTCAACTCTCCTCTCTATTTCACAAACACAAGCATGGGCCCATATTCATTTTCTAGCTTCACAAGCCAGTTGAACTCTTTAACTTCATGCCCATAACTAAACGGACCACAAAGTGTCTACAACTAGTAGTAACAACCTTTCCCTCCACCTCAGCTCCTGAGATGACAAGGGTGAGATGTGCCTTTGTCTAGAGATGAGAGTTGATACCAATGTATATACAAGCTACCAATTTATATACTTACCTCCGTTTTCGTTCACCTGCCGCCAAACTTTTACTGTAGCAAATTTGACCCCACATTTTTTTCTGCAATAGATATTCAGATACACCAAGTTTTCATATATATGATTCTTCATTGAACATACTTCATTAGTGTAATATACTTTGAAGTATCTAAGATTTTTTGAAGAAAAAACAGATGGTCAAAATTGCTATAGTAAAAGGTTGGTGACAAGTAAACGAAAACAGAGGGAAGTCTTATAAAAACAAATCCCACTAGATCTCTGCATGTATGCTATCCGCATGAACGGCTATCCACTAGCATATACAATTATAATATGGGCTTTGTTTTGTTGTGGTACTCCCAAATAATATAGTTATCTGTCAATGCAAACTATCCACATCATCAAGTCACATCATCTAACAATATATATACACTTAGTTGTCCACATCAACGAGTCATATCATCTATTTATGATAGTTTTTCCCTTCCTATAGATAAAATAATTATAGGCCACCTAATTTCTACTTCATCTGTCCTTTTACATATTATATTAGTTTCGTCCTAAGTCAAACGTTACTGTCTTTGACCATCTTTTTTTTTAAAAAAACGTAGTTTCACAACATATAAGTTATATATTATGAAACTATTTCCTGAATCTGAAAACATAAATTTTATCTTATGTCATGAATCTTTTTTTTTTGAAATTGATGATCGAAAATACAAATGTTTGACTTATGAACAAAGCCAATATGACATGTAAAAATAATAGGAGTATTCCAAATCATCTACAATCTCCGCAGCAATGTGTGAAGCATGCTTGTAGTTGATAAAATCGGTGAGAACAACATGCCCAAATTAAATAGTTGAAAGGCATTGCAACAATAATATCTCGCACGATCTCAAATTCCTTGCTAGAATCTTTGCTGACGTCTAAATAGTAAATACACATGCGCTAGCTATAGCAAGCTAGTTAGCTAGATATATGTCGATCACCAAAATCTATCTAGTAGTGTAATTAATACAGAGCCACCACTAAAAACCCGGAGTCACTGACACGCACGCTCCTAAATCTTTTTCACCACGTGCTCCTCATGCTGGTTCAACTTGTGATTTGGCAAGCCAGCACGCAGTCTAGTCACATGCTAGCTAATTTCTGGTTTGAGTATGTGGGTCCCGAGCTGACAGGGACAGGATTTGCCAAAACCGGTAAGTGTCAAGTGTGGTAACCATAAACCATGCATGCAAAAGAAGATACGAGCACACCAAACATAGGAGAGGTCGAGTAATCCGCACGTGCACACGTGCGTGCCAACCCAAGCGGGAGCCCGGCCGGGTTTAAGAGCACGCCGGCCGGCTCTCCCAAGTCCCATCGCCTCATCACTTGCAGTTGCAGTTCTTCCATTTCGATCCACCACATTCTTGCTTCTTCTCTCTGATCGATCAAAAGCGCGCATAGCAGAGGCGTCAGGGAGGTCGGTAGATCGATCACGGCCGAACCAAACATGAAGAGGGGCGTTGCGGCGGCAACCATGGGCGGGGGCACGCCGGCGCCGGGGAAGACCACCGAGGAGCAGGCGAGAGCGATCATGTGCGCGGCGCAGAGGGCCGTGGAGGAGGAGGCCAAGAGAGGGGACGGCGACTGTGGCGCCGGGCCGGGCCTGTCCCTGAAGAAGTCGCTCCAGTGGTTCCTGGAAGGCCGCAAGAACAAGGCCATGGCCGTTGCCGCCGCCGCTGCCGGGATCCATCGCCAGCTTGAGGACGACTCCACGTCGTTGTCGTCTAAGTACTAAAATTGACGGCCGATGTAGTTCTTCAGAGTACATTGTGCGACCTCTTCTGCATATTTCTCATCACTTCTTCTTCTTCTTCTTTTCTGAACAAACAAGATTTGTCAATCACTGGGCACTGGCCCTGCTTCTTCTCGTTTCTGCAACTGTTCCTTGTACTACGTTGCAAGATTGATTAATGAACATCCGGAACGGAAATCTCAGCTAGTGACATACTGTACTTGTTTTGATAAAAAAAAAAAAACTTTTTTCGTTTTTTTACTTTGCTTTATATAAGTGAACTTTTTATATCGAACTCTCAACCAAAAGTATCAACTTAAATTATGAAGCTTTTTAACTCAAAGATGAGAACTTTGTTTGTTGTGATGTTTTGAGGGATTAAAGTGTTACATGCCATGCATGTCACAAATGATGCTCAATTTTGTTTTGCTTCAAATGGTTGATGTAGGAAACTACTCCAAGTGGATCCATGCTAAACTTTAGAGCCTAGTATTTGGTACAGCTTCCCCTAATTCTTCAATCTAACTCCTTGATTTTTTATTGTAGTTATTTTAGTTTATTCTGGTTGGGGGCAAGGGAGAATTGATCCTGCTGTGATTTTTGTGGGGATTGAATAGGAACAATGAGGAACGGGTTTTTTAGCTCTCACCTTTCAATGTAAATGGAAAAAATGATTCTTGTCTACACCCTGCCAGAATCTATGTGGATTTTTGTTGTTTAGCTGAGAAGGAGTAGTTTTCATATAGAATCCACTTGAAGGTGCATTACCAAACGGCTCGCTAGGCATCAAGGCTTCTCGTTGCTTTCTTCGTCAAACAAAAAAGAGGTTGTCAGTTAGATTTCCCAAAAAAATCAATATGGCATATATCGGCCATTGGCTTGGCAAAACTGACGCTTGAATCTTCTCCTTGTCAAGCATTGATTTTTACACCGTACCATGACTGCTCTTAAAAGCCTAGACACACGTTACTTTAACTCGTATGAGCATAGAAAGCTCAAAAATTTATCCAAAGTTGTGTATTGCGTTCTAATTATGTTGAGATCAGATTCCCCACCCAAGACATAGTCTATTTTATGTTGGCTTGCTTTGCGAGGAAATATAGATGCGGCTCCTGATTGAGCTGTCTTTGCCCAAAAGTCCTCTCGTTGCTGAAAATCTATTCTGTAGTAATGGTTTAAACCATAGAGCTTGAGAGTTTTGAGAGATTGGGTTGTTGCGCCCTTTATCTTGGTGAGTCCGTGCACTTAAGGTCTTCATGATCTTATGTGAAGGCATGGTGGTCTTCCAGCGGTGATCCTCCGTTTCTCGGTGTGGAGAGGCATAGTGTCTGTGTGTGTGTGTGGGGGGGACAAAAAGATCCCTTCCTCTCATGTGAGAAGCTTTGTAGTGTACATGATGTCAAGGTGATCAAAAGAGCCAGATGGTGATGGTGAGACTTACTAACTCACAGCACCAGCCTTTTTGCTAGTGGATTCCTTCTATGGGAAGTCCAATGGTGACTGTGACTCTGCGAGAGATTTGAAGACCTAGAGCATACCTCGGTGGAGCTCCAACGTGAAACTGGGGTGTGATTTGGCAACCGATAGAATATATCGTTGCATCTTCAAGAGTTCGTCCTCGCTAATGCTTAATTAGCACTTTGCTTGCCAAGTGTGTGTGGCTTCCACCTATTCTAAATTAGCTATATACCAGTTGATATGATTGACTCTATGTAGGTCGTAAAACTATTTTGGTTTGAGAGTAAGTTAGAGCATGCTACAAGGATAATTAAACCTTAAGTGTACATCCTACTAAAGTATGGTTTTTATAAGGCCGGTAGCAAAAAAACCGTTCCAACAAATTGGTGACAATGGTAAACTAAGTACATACACACAACCACCACCAAGATAATTACATGGAATGCATGAACTCTCGTGAGAGTCACTTCGTCAACAACACAGTAAAGTATTGCATACATATAGTTACACAAACCGATGTGTCATGCCCTTTTGCAACGTCTAAATATAATTGCTAAGGGCACATACATATATAAACTTTCTTCTTTATTTATTTATATATATAGAGAGAGAGAGAGAGAGAGAGAGAGAGAGAGAGATTCATCAAGGGTATGTATGTCCCAAGCGTGCATACGATAACTTCACCTCAACACCAACTCTGCTGCGCGCCGGCCGTCGTAGAGGCGAAACGGCGGTTCAGGACACTACGTGAAAAACGGTTTGTAGCAACGGGACGAATTTTTTTGTAGGGGCGGTGGTGATGGAGCTGTCCCTGCAGTGGCGTGCTCGGGAGCCCAGACACCAGCCACCCCTACAAATGGAACAGCAGGGGCGGCTGGTGATACGAGCCGCCCCTACAAATGGGTCTGATTTGTAGGGGCGGCTCTCACCAGCCGCCCTTAGCGTTGCTATTTGTAGGAGGCGGTGGTGATTGAGCCGCCCCTACAAATTCCCACATATAAATACCTCCGATTTGTAGGGGCGGCTCAATCACCAATCGCCCCTACAAATGACCCACATATAAAGCAAATTGTAGCACTTTCTTCCTCCTCGGGTCACTCACTCCAACCCGTGAAAAAAGGTGAGGAGGCCTTGGGCACCTCCCAAAAATTGCTCTACTAAGGGGGAAATGTTTTGGTCTCAAATTCTTTGGTGGAGAGGTTGTAGAAGGTAAGAAAATGCTATTCCACACTTTTTTTGAAGTTTTAATGGTTGATTAGTGAGTAATTAGAGTTTTAGTTTTTCTCTCTCTTATATGGTGATTGAGCTACTTATGAAGCAATTTAGACCCAAGTTTTGAATGTACTAGGGTAAATTAGGGAGGGAAACAAGATCATACCCTTATTTGATCCATGTTTCTTGATTTTAGTGAACAATTAGTTAGTTTTATGGATGTTTCATGTGCATGTAGATCTAAATCTAGGGTTTGGTTTTTTATTAATTTTGTTTTTGTAAATTTATGTTTGATGAAATTGGACTAGGGTTTGTATGAAAGATATTGGGTAAAATATAATTGTTGCTAATTATTGTCTTTGAAATTGTTTATTGTAATCAACAAATATGTATTTTAATTATTTATGGATAAATGGACCATTAATTAATTTTCCTCTACCATGGTGTGTTTGTATGCTTCATGTAATTATATTTGATTTATATTCATATATATCTGAAGTATATACAATTATTCTCAAGTAATTATTAATTTGATTCATTTTTATATATATATGAATAAGTAGTCCTTTAATGTTTGTTTTGTTGTTGTTGTAAAAGATGGAGTACAAGAACTCTTGATGTATGGTTCGTTAAGATTCAAGGCATGTTTCCGTGAAGAGGTGGATAAATTTATTGAAGCCGCAAAGAAGCATGCAACGACATTGACAGAGAATAAGGATACAATTATTTATCCCTGTAAAGATTGCAAGAACCGTATGGCATGGACAGATGTGACTATCATCAGATCATATTTGATTATGCGAGGATTTATTGAGAACTACACAGTGTGGATTCATCATGGTGAAACAGTTATTGTTAACGATGAGGATGAGGAGGAATACGACGACGAAACCATAGAATCCTTGTCTCAATATTCAGCAGAGCTTGATGCACGAATGGATTTCGAGTTTGGCAATGAACAAGGTGGTGATGCTGGTGGTTGGGATGGTAACGACGAAGGTGGTGCCAATAATGATGGTGGAGCATGTGTCGGGGATGAAGATGATTTGGAGGACATGATTCGAGCCCTTGGACCAGAGATTTTACTAAATAGCCCGAAAGATCTAGAAAATTTGGAAAGGGTGACAAAAGCATCGAATGAGACTGTGTATGGTGTTGAAATTGGACATTGCTACGTTTTTTGTCAGACACATTGGACATTGCTAGTTTCGATTTTGTGCTTGAGCTACTTATCCACAAAGAAGGCTAAGTCCATTGATAATGGGGTCGATGCATGTAGTTTCAATGATCTATTGCATCTCTTGTCATGGGTGCTACCACAACCAAACTCAGTTCCCGCCAACACATACTAAGCAAAGAAGGTCATAAGTCCATTGATAATGGGGGTTGAAAAAAATCCATGCATGCCCTAACCATCGAAAGTATACTTTTTTCGTGGAACTAACTAGTTGAAACGTTCAAGTCATCGGATAAATGTACCCCGGTGTGGGGCCAGCGAGTACAAGAACAATGACCTTTACGGTGGGGACGAAGCCTCCATGGACATTATATTGATCGCTTCTTCACCGCCTCCCTCTCTCCCAAAAAGAGGAATAGGAAGGGTACAAAAAGGTGGCACAAGAATCTCAGCCCCAAGTGAGGACACTCCAACAAGGCAACGATGCAAAGCTGAAGAAGATGCAGAAGAATTCTGCCTTGGTAAATGTAAATAGCTGCCGGATTGATCGATCGCTTGAGACGTATCTTCCTAAACCCTAAAGAAGCCCTTCGAAAGTTCATAGCAGCCAAGGTTCCACTGCAGCCACAACCCCCGTCGATCGCATACGGGAACTAACTAGTTGCACCTTGGTGTTTCTCGACCGTGACCAGCAGAACTTCGTGATGGAGGTGGCACTGGCGGGTGTGTCACATCCTCCGATGACTTACACCACAATAATAAGATACTCTCGCGTTCGGACTACACTAGGGTCGAGGTGTATACATGGTATTAAGCCCGAGTTCAGTTCATGCGTGAGAGAAGGATAGACTACGCAATTCTCGAGGGGTTGGTGTTACTCGGAGACGTTATGGGGCGCCTCGGTTCATCCATTGATGGCACAAACGGGATATTATATTGATTTGCTTCTTCACCGCCTCCCTCTCTCCCAAATTTAGAGCAAGTTGTTGAGGTCGAGGAGATATTTTCTTGTTTTGAAAGCGTAAAGTTCTCGTGACCACCACATTCTGAGATACCACATTCTTCCCCGCCTCCCTAGCGAGCATGTGATTAGACGATAAAAGATGCCACAACCTTCGTGATTGGCGAGACGTAGAATATGTTTACAAATATTTTA